TTTATCCTTCATATCTAGTTTTGAAGCTTGGCTCTAAGAATTCAAACAATATTGCAGGAACAGTCAGATGTGCCCAAGAAAGTTCCCAACTGACGTGAGACATAGGTGGAATTCCACATATTTAATGTTAAAGGTTGCACTCCCGTATTTAGAGTCTAACAAATATTAGAGAATATTTATCCTTCATATCTAGTTTTGAAGCTTGGCTCTAAGAATTCAAACAATATTGCAGGAACAGTCAGATGTGCCCAAGAAAGTTCCCAACTGACGTGAGACATAGGTGGAATTCCACATATTTAATGTTAAAGGTTGCACTCCCGTATTTAGAGCTCATCACAACGTATGTAAACAGTAAGAACAATCAACTTTTAATTTTCGATACAGATTGGCAGATTGATGAGTATTTTTTTAAATTTTTAGAAGTTTTTTACAATGCTACTGAATTACTTTATGGAGTTTATTATCCTACTGCACATTTAGCTTTACATCAACTATTTAATATTCAGAAACATTTTCTTATTATAGGGATACAGTACTTTTTAGAGACATAGTTAAGCTAATGGAAACTAAATTTTAAAAATTATTGGTCAGGTTGTCCTATGTTATATACATTAGGAACCATTTTAGATATTATGTGCGGAGTAGATAGGACTGAATCTTTGATGACCGCTACAGCAAAAAATTTAGGAATTGATATGCAACTAACTATTATTGACGCTAAGAAAATATTAGAAAAGGTATTTAGTTTGTATGAAGCAAAATACAGCACAGGTAAAAAAGAACAAGGAACTTCGACGTCAACTAGCAATCAGGGCCTAAAGGATCGTCGTGGAGTTTCTTGAAGAAGAAAAAGAAAACGGCAGGATCGTCATCAACACAAGCGTCTACCGAACTGCTAAAATATCTTGAAGTAAATTTTGTAATCGATAACGACAAACTAGACATCGTATAGTGATGGAAGAGCAAGACCGATCGTTTTCCAACACTGTCCGTAATAACTTGTGACATTATGACAACTCTAGTGTCAACGGTAGCATCGGAGCAAGCATTTAGTGCAAGTAACTAAATTCTTGACTAGAAGAGAAGCAGAATGCATCCAGATATCTTGGAAGGGCTATGTGCGTTAAAGATTAAGAGGATGCCAGAAGACGAAAATAACAATACACATATGATTCAATGCAAGACTATTTTTCTAACTTAGAAATAACAAAATCTTCTAAAAGCACTTAGGTTTGTAATTTACTATTCCTACTGCACTCTTTTCTCATTCGCCAAAGTTTTGTCCCGATCTCCCCACAGATTTTACTTGGTAAGGTTTTTAACGAGACAGTCGTATGATCTCAATTCAATAAAATCACATCTTTTAAAGGCATATGATATATTTTTTTTAATTAAATTTAAAAAAAAAAAATTACAAGGGCCAGGGCCGGCCTATGAAGGGCATGGGCCCAGGCCCGACCCTGACCCTTATGGACTAGGACCGTGGGCCTAGACCGAGCCTGAGATTTTTTCCTCAAGCCTGACCCTAACACGGTCCTGCACTGTGCAAGGTTATGTCAGACACGGCTCAAGCCCGCCACAGACCTGGGATCAGACGTGCTGTGCCGATCCGACACAGCACGTTTGACATCTCTAAGTAAGGTTCACCGACTTTAGAAAAGGTATTTAGTTTGTATGAAGCAAAATACAGCACAGGTAAAAAAGAACAAGGAACTTCGACGTCAACTAGTAATCAGGGCCTAAAGGATCGTCGTGGAGTTTCTTGAAGAAGAAAAAGAAAACGGCAGGATCGTCATCAACACAAGCGTCTACCGAACTGGAAAAATATCTTGAAGTAAATTTTGTAGTCGATAACGACAAACTAGACATCGTATAGTGATGGAAGAGCAAGACCGGTCGTTTTCCAACACTGTCCGTAATAACTTGTGACATTATGGCAACTCTAGTGTCAACGGTAGCATCGGAGCAAGCATTTAGTGCAAGTAACTAAATTCTTGACTAGAAGAGAAGCAGAATGCATCCAGATATCTTGGAAGGGCTAATGTGCGTTAAAGATTAAGAGGATGCCAGAAGACGAAAATAACAATACACATATGATTCAATGCAAGACTATTTTTCTAACTTAGAAATAACAAAATCTTCTAAAAGCACTTAGGTTTGTAATTTACTATTCCTACTGCACTATTTTCTCATTCACCAAAGTTTTGTCCCGATCTCCCCACAGATTTTACTTGGTAAGGTTTTTAACGAGGCAGTCGTATGATCTCAATTCAATAAAATCACATCTTTTAAAGGCATATGATATATTTTTTTTAATTAAATTTTGAAAAAAAAAATTACAAGGGCCAGGGCCGGCCTATGAAGGGCATGGGCCCAGGCCCGACCCTGACCCTTATGGACTAGGACCGTGGGCCTGGACCGAGCCTGAGATTTTTTCCTCAAGCCTGACCCTAACATGGTCCTGCACTGTGCAAGATTATGTCAGACACGGCCTAAGTCCGCCACAGACCTAGGATCGGACGTGCTGTGCCGATCCGACACAGCACGTTTGACATCTCTAAGTAAGGATCACCGACTTTCTTCACTCCATATGGCACAAATCAAGTGGTGTGTGACGTGGAATAATTTGATGCTTTCTCTCTCCAATTAAAAAAAAGTCACAAAGCTAAAAAAGCAATATTGTTGGGTGCGCGTAGCGTGTACACTACAGCACCGAATTAACCACTGCTGGCCGTTAACAAACAGCGATGTCGATTATCGAACTTACTAAAAAAAATTAAAAAAGAAAAAGAAAAAGAAAATAATGAAAAAGTGATTGATTGACAAAAAGGAAAAAAAAAAGTTTCAAGAAGCAGCGGCAGCTGAAGAGTCCAACAGGTGACGGAGTCCAAAGCGGCCGTTGCACGCCACGTCTTTCGTAACGCTCTTGATAACGACGTCTCCTCCTCCTCCTCCTTCTCCTCTTCTTCTTCTTCTTCTTGTCTCTGCCACGCTCCCTCTCTCTCTCTCTCTCTCTCTCTCTCTCTCTTTCTTCCTTCAGCTCTCTCTCTTCCTTCAGCAGAGTTGGTTGAGAGACAAGGAGAGAGAAACAATGGCATCTTAATCAGAAAGCAACGCGATTCGCTTTCTCTCTGTTCCTCGCTTGTTTACACCTCTTTTGTTCAATTCGGAGACAGCGAGATCGGAATTCTGAATATGGTGTGCTGACTTGCGCTAATGTGGTTGGTCGAAGGCCATTGAGTTTTGACGGATGATCGGTTTCTGATTGATCAGGATTCGTTTCGGACCATTCGTGCCAGGATTTTGTCGTCTTCCTTTTGTCTCTGGTGTGCGTGAAATCTTGGTACGTTTCGTCGTTTTCTTCAGCTTTGATTCCTGAGAATCTTCTCGATTCTATTAGATATATATGCTAATTCAATTACCGATTCAATCGCCGGATTTTTTCTCTATTTCTGATTAATCTTTGATGCAGATGTAATCGGCGATCCGATTGTCGGCCGCATTAGACGCAATGCCAGGTAGATTCATCTAAATCCAGTGAAAAACTGAGCTTGAATTTTGATTTTGTTGATGAAGCTGATGTGTTTGGTGCGTAATTTGTTTGGATGTGATTAGGAGAAGTAGCTTTAGTTCAAGAAGATGAGAAGTCGAGAATTTTTGAAATTGAGACCTCTGAGGACGAAAGGAGGAGGTCTCGTGGCAGATCGCTTAAGAAGAAGACCGTGAATGCTTCATTAAAACTCACGCAGAGTCTCAGAAAGCGCGGTAAAAAGGTCGCCAATTGTCGGTATGCTTCAATTTCGATCGAGGATGTTCGGGATGCAGAGGAGGAAGAAGCAGTGAATTCATTTCGCGAGGCATTGCTCACGAAAGATCTTCTTCCGGCTCGCTTTGATGATTACCATACTATGTTGAGGTAATTCGTGTATTCAATTTCTCACCAAAAAACGACAAACAAAAACCTAGAGCTATCAAATTCTTAAAGCTGTGGATGACAAAGGAGCACAGGGGAAAACCATGAGCAGAATCGTTGAACTTATGGAGTTGTCTCTTAGTTTAGATGTTTTCTTCCGGTTGATTTTTTTCTTTTTTCTTTTTTCCCAAGAGATCTAGCCTCAATAATTCAAAGAACAATGGACATTATTTAGTGAAGTAGAAATAATTTTTATATAGACCAGCATTTTCATGAAATAGAACTTCATTCTTGGTAGTTCTGCATCACACCAATTAAGGCAACAATTCTGTGATTGGAAGAGAGCTAACACGAAAAAGGTTTTCCATCATGTTTTGGATATGAGCTAGCTTGTTTAGACAGCCTCAGTGCCCGTGAAGCCTGATTTGATCTTTCACAGAAGCCAACAATACGCTTTTGCAGAAGAAGTGGTTTGATCTAATATTTACCTTTGCGCTTTTGCACCACTGCCCAATGGTGGTGCTTACATGTTTTGTCAGTTCAAACTTCAAAGCCAAAGCAAGGATAAAGCATGTCCATTCCATTATATTTTTCTTAGATAAAAATTGTTTTGATTTGTGTTTCTAGATCGGAAGATTATGACTTATGGATTGCTTCTCTTCCTAATTATCACTAGTTCATGGATTTTATATTCTATTAAGACTAGTATCGAAGCTCCTCTATTTTCTTGTTTTTTATGTTTCACTTCTAGCTTTTGCTCTTAATTGTAAGGATCTGGGGCAATATTCATGCAGATTTCTGAGGGCAAGGAAGTTTGACATTGACAAGACTCTACATATGTGGGAAGAAATGCTTAAATGGAGGGAAGAGTATGGAGTAGATTCTATTATAAAGGTAAAAATGTGAAAATGGCATTGCAACTGGTTGCTGATGCATGTTGTCTTGGTTGAGATTTAACAATGATTACAACCACTTGTTCTAATACATGGGCGTTTTACTGCAGGATTTTGTATACGATGAGTATGAAGAAGTTCAGCGCTTTTATCCTCATGGTTACCATGGTGTAGACAAGGGAGGAAGACCTGTTTACATTGAAAGGCTTGGAAAAATTGAACCCAGCAAGCTAATGAGTGTCACTACAGTGGACCGATTTTTGAAATATCATGTCCAGGGTTTTGAGAAAGCTTTTGCGGAGAAGTTTCCTGCATGTTCTGTTGCGGCAAAAAGGCATATTGATTCTAGCACAACAATACTAGATGTCCAGGGGATGGTAATTTCTGAAAAGACCATCTAGTTTACTATTCGTTATGATACCTGTGTTTTATGCAATAATAATGCTTTTTTATTTATTTATATAATGCAGAATTGGGTCAGCTTTGGAAAGAATGCCCATGATCTTGTTATGCGCATGCAAAAAATTGATGGCGACAATTATCCTGAGGTGCTTTGGTTATTTACAATACTAGAAAGAGTTATTTGTGAATTTTATTAGTCATTCCTGATATTGGTTGCCTTCTCCACAGGCATTGCATCAGATGTTCATAGTCAATGCTGGCAATGGATTCAAACTCCTATGGAATACAGCAAAAACCTTTCTTGACCCAAAAACTGCTTCAAAGATACATGTATGCTATTTCTCAGTCGTTATTTATTTATTATTTTTTTGACCCAAAAACTGCTTCAAAGATACATGTATGCTATTTCTCAGTCGTTGTTTATTTATTTATTTATTTTTTTTGAAAGTTTTTATCAAGTAATTTAAACCCTGAAATGCTGTCTGCACTGATTCCAAAGGTTTTAGGAAACAGATATCGAAACAAATTGCTCGAGGTCATAGACTCAAGGTTGGTGGTCTGCCTTATTTTCTTTGGCTGCTGAGTTTTTTTTTTTTTTTTTTGAATCTTTTCTACTAAATGTTGTTTTTTTGTTCTATTCCATCTTTCTTACTTTATTTTTATTTTAGCTTTTTATTTCGATACAAAACTTATTTTAGATCATTCTATTGAACAGCCAACTTCCGGACTTCCTAGGGGGAACTTGCTCGTGTCCGAATGATGGCGGTTGTCTTAGATCTAACAAGGGACCTTGGAGTGACCCAGATATAATGAAAGTATGGTTCTTTTGAATTAAAACCTCTGTTCTATTGGTTCGTTTGCAATATTTGACGCCCAGCAGATCTAAACTTTGGACTTGATTTTGACATTTTATAGGTTTTTCATCCTGGAATACTGATATCATCACTCATCTCACTTCTATTTGCAGCTGGTACATACTGGAGAAACAATGTATTTACGGAAAATAAAAGGCTCATCTAATAGTGACAATCTAGGAGTCAAGTTGTTGTCCTCTAAGGTGACGTGCTGATGAATCAACTATTGATGCCATCTCTTACGTACTCTTCTTTGTAAAAAAGTCTTCTGCCATCTACTGTTCCTGCCGTTTTCTAAATTGCCGGCTTTATGCAGGTTGCAAGCGGTGAAATAATTTCTGCCTCCAGGTCAGAAGCAGACATTACGCCAAGTGTTTCTGGCTTCAAGCAACCAATGCCTCTTTCTGACAAAGTAATCGGACAATTCTTTTTCATCTTTTATCTTCTTCTCATTTCTTCTTTTTAACCCTTATATTATGATAACGGAAATGTGAGAATTGCGTTGCAGGATAAAAAATAATAATAATAATAATAATAAATAAATAAACCCAGGATATCACAATTCACGTGTTGTTAACAAGTCATATGATGACAGAAAACTTGTATCATATCAAGAAAAAATGATCTTTTTTCCTGGTAGAGAAAATATAGCAATTTAATAATACTTGACAAAATCTAACGCACCCTACCGCATATTTCTCGTAACAGATGCCTTAATACTCAAGATTATTAAGGTCCTATTGTTATCATCTTGAACTTCATATCTTACATTTAAGGCTCAGCTAATGTTTCTTCAATTTTGGTTGGGAGTAAGTTTGTTCAGTATTCTTTGAGACTCATTCAACTGAAATCAAATTTCTTTCGCTAAATTATAGAATTGTAGCAGGGTAGCTATATTCTACCGATTTTCTGTACAGATCCTGCTAAAGTTTCCAAATATATCGATCTAACTTTAGCTTTGTCCTTTTTTCTTGTCCAGGAAGGAATAAGTGACGCTGCATCTCTCTGCAGCCCGGTTGAACCAGGAAGCACTTCTGGAAGAACTGAAGTTGCCGGCCCTAGTTTGACTAGTATGTCGTCCCTCACTTATTTATCAGAGCTGTTAAAGGTTGACCCGAGGCATAGTATTGACTCTTGCAAGTTATACCGTTTAGCTGTTTCTTAGAGCCTTTTTCTAAAGAAGTCACTAAATCATATAATTTAGAGGGGGGGAAAGAAAGAACAATAGTAAGTGATCCCGCACTTTATGTTGACTCGAGGCACGGTATTGACTTGTCGCAAGTTATGCCGTTTAGCTGTGTTTTAGAGCCTTTAAAATAAAATAAAAAAGTCATCAAATCACATTATTTAGAGGGGGAAAAAAGAACAACATTGAGTGAAGGAAAAGTAGAGGATCTTTCATATGTTTTAGCAGTATATTGATCTATTGTTGTACATGTTCCTGACTTATTCCTGTCACAGATGATTTGACCACTAATGTTGCTCCAAGAAGGCCAGTGAAGGATATAATTCCCCGAGTAGCAAGTTTAGCGTTTCACTTCATACTCAAGATCTTAGCGTGTATATATTTAATTTTCCCAAGGATGAGAAGAACGCCCACTGTGCAACAACCAGAGAACCGCATAGAAACCCCAAAGCCACCAATTGCAGATTCAAGTTCTCCGGAGCAGAGCACTCCGCAGGCACTAGAAATTGACCCACTCTGGCAGAGGCTGCAACATCTAGAAACCATAGTCACGGAGCTGTATAACAAACCTACAAGAATACCCCAAGAGAAAGAGGACATGCTTCATGAATCCATGAGCCGTATTAGATCTATAGAATACGACTTACAAAAGACTAAAAAAGTGAGATAACCTTCTTTGCTTGTAAATCAAGGGTTTTCTTGTCCACTACGGCAGTTTTACAATGCAATCAGATTCTGTTTTTTTATCATATTTTGTTCACTAAACTTGAGTTTCATTATGTAGGCGCTACTAGCAACTGCGTCAAAGCAGGTGGAACTTGCCGAGTTGCTGGAAGGCTTAAAGGAAACCGCCTTAACTGTAAGACCCTATAACCCATTGACTCAAAAATATCATTCCAATCTGACTGGAGTACAAAAACAACAAAATTGTTCAGTAATTTCCCTCTTTTCTTTTTTTTTTTTTTTTTTTTTTTTTTTTTTTTTTTTGCCCACCTTCTAGCAAAACGAGATTGAATTGATTAATGGCGATGTGTTGAACAACCCTAGAAAATTTTGGTTCTCAGTACTATTATCCTTCACAAGGATATATTTTTCATAAACTTAATGGTGTTTCAATATAGCAGGGAACAAGCTCTTGTTGGCCGAGAAATTGCAGGTCTTATAGCTATGCCCCAGGAAGATGAGAAAAATTCCCTTTTCTCAAGAATACTGAAATTGCCAATTGACGATCCTCTGTACTTGACAGTGCAATGACAATCAGATCTGAAGTCACCCAGCCAAATTAAAGGGGTTGTCATTTTAGGTAATTGTCCTTTAAAATTCTTTTTAGTGAATTTTTGTTGTTTTCATTTGTTTGTATTGTTATTGTTTATGCAAATTCATCCTCTCTCTCTTATGCTTGTGCCTTATGCGAGGGGGCGTTTGAATCTCTCTCTCTCTCTCTCTCTCTCTCTCTCAGGTTGTTGTAGTTGGAAGCTGAAAATATTCATTTACCAAACAAACGGAAGAGTATTCACCAGAGAATAACTTTTTCTTGGATAAATATTGGCATAGAAAGTGTTCTAGAAAAAATAAAAATAAAAATATGGTTATAGCGAGCATAACGAAGATGCGCATAATCTTTGATTTTGCTGTACATACGATAATTTTTTTTTTAAATTCCTTTTTTTGGTACTTTTTGCCATATGACATTCTACTTGCATTTGGATACCAATAGAAAAATTTACAAAAGCAGCGTTGTTGCGACATTTGTATTTGACAGTTTAAGTCACTTGCATATTTCCCGAAGATTGATCTCTAATACATGATTGCAGCCACAGGCACACAATATTCCTTCCTCCCTCCCCCACCCCGCGATAACCATCATGGCCGCAATGTTGTTGTACATAAATTTGTTCTGCGTTTTGCCATTTTTGTCGTCCATTAAATACTCCGCATAACTTTAAATAAATCTCTGATTTCCTCTTGAAATCGTGTATTTGAAGCTTCGTCATCTGAAGCAAGAAAAAGACTCGTATCGTTGCTCTTATATTGTGATCTTAACATTACTACCGATAAAGTAGAAGATTCAGATTCTTTTTTTCATCGAAATATTATTCAGATTGTTGCTAGGGGAAACAACTAAAACATTAGTGTTCTCATTTGGTAGATGGATATTAATCAGTGTTTATTTATACTGATTTTGAATCATAATTCAAAATCAGTGTTTAACTTGGATGATTCTGAATCATGATTCAAAATTTGATGTGATGTTTTAAATTAAAATCACTCATAATTCTAAAACTACTCCCCTCTTAATTCAAGGTGATTTGTTTGGTTGGGGGATTCGTATCCCGATTCGAATCATGGTTCATGGTTCGCTACAGTGTTTTTTCTCACAAAAAATACACGTAAATTGAAAATGATTCTAAACTATAAACTAAACGTCAATTCTTGATTCCAAATCATAATTTTAAAATTACAATTTAAACTTAAAATCATAAATCATAATTTTAATTTTAAAATCATGATTAAAATCACTTTTTTTAAATTACATACCAAAATGAATATTTAGAACTTATAAGTGCCAATTATTGCTCCTGAGTCCTGACACATTCTCCAAACTGAGAACCAGTTTTGTAAAAGGTTCGGAGGATCAGTTCGTACATCCAACATCGTACGGATAGTTAATTATTAAAAAAATATCGTACGGATGAGTTAATTATAAAAAACCATCGTACGGAGAGTTAATTAGCAAAACAACATCGTACGGATAGTTAATGCCTTCCGTCAGGTAGCTTTCAGTACGGTTAGCCCAGATCACATCTTAAGCCCAAAACTCTAGGGCATGCAATTATTGGAACTTTTGTCATCTATTATTAATTATTGTGTACCACTCATCAGGAATTGTTTTCTAAAATAATTTGCAATTTATAGTATTACCATGCATCCCTAGTCTTGAGAATTCAAGAAAAATAGTTTTCTTTCCGACAAAATAAAAGAAAAGAAAAAAGTGATCACTTTTCTTTTAAAATTTTTAAATTATTTTTATGAAAATTTTTTTTGTGTTCCCTCTTTTTTGAGAACACATGTGTTCCTTATTTTTTAACCGTCGGATCTATATTATTTTTTAATTTAATTTAAAATTTGACCAGAATTAATACAGATCTAACGACTGATAAGCAAGTAATACCGATATTTTTTTTAAAAATGAGACACTAAAGAAAGTGCTTTATGTTTTTTATAAATATACTTGTAAATATACTATTTTTATTTGTAAATAAACTTTTTTAGTGGTGCATGTTTTTAAATATAAAATTATATCAAAATAAGAGATAATGTAAAATTAATATAAATAAGACAACTTACCTATTCTACCAAAAAAAATAACAATACTAGAAAATTATTTAAAACTTTTTCTCAAGAAACTAGGATATATTACAAACGTGTAGATAGAAATAAATCTTATAAATTTGACTATATGTCATCAGTCAATTTCAACAGGCGGAAATAAGACAACTTAACCATTGTACCCTCTAAAAAAATACTAGAAAATTATCAACAACACTTTTTTTTTCTCATTTTTCTATGCTACAACACTTTTCTTCTTATCTAATCAAAGAATTTCCTTTGTATATATACAGAGTTTGTCTTTGATCATTCGTATGAAAATATTGTATGATGTGACATATAAAAATAAATAGTGTAATTTAGTGTTTATTTTATGTAATAATATTTAAAAAAAACATGTTACATTGACTTATTATAGATTTTTTTGTTATAAATTACAAAATTATTGTTATTTAGGATGGGGGTTGTGAAGGACTTTTTAAGAGCATCTACAATGGAGTACTAAATTAATGTGCTAATGTCCAATTTTGACATTTAATAAAAAAACGTACTATAATAAAATGTTTTGATCCGTATTAAATATTTAAAACTTTAGGATCTGAGTAAACTTTTTAATTATATAATCACAACATTGAAAAGTATTTCAAATATATTCTTTAATTTCTTTTGCCAAATGTAGCATTAGCATTTATTTTCTACACGGTCTAAGCCTCTCCTTATTCCTTATATAAAATATTTCGTTATCTTTTCCTATACTTTTTTTTTTTTTTTTGAAGACTTTTCCTTTACTTTTTTTTTTTTTGGTAGACTTTTCCTTTACTTTTGGTAAAATAACAGTTGACGCAGTCGAAAAAAATAAATAAAAAATAAAAATGAAGCCCACCTCATGAGCGAACCACTCCACCATCACCACCACCACCATCACCATTGGCGCCGCCTCAGTCCCATATTCCACTTTCTCTCTCCTCTCTCCTCTCTCCTCTCCAATGTCGTCCTCTCCCGAGCCCACCGGTAAGAAGCCCCAACCCATCCCCTGGACCCACGAGGAGACGGTCCATCTGATCGAAGCCTACCAGCAGAAATGGTACTCCCTCAACCGCGGCCAGCTCAAGTCCCCCCAGTGGGAGGAGATCGCCGTGACAGTCGCCGCCCGCTGCGGCTACGACTTCTCCCACCCATCCTCCAAGTCCGCCCTCCAATGCCGCCACAAGATGGAGAAGCTCCGCCAGCGCTTCCGCTCCCACTCCCACCGCCTCGGCCCCTCCTCACCCTGGCCCTACTTCGACCTCATGGACCGCCTCCTCCGCGGCCCGTTCCCCATCTCCGCCCGCCCCATGGACTACGACGACGAAGACCAACCCTGCCACGCCGCCGCCTACGAACCAGATCTTGATCATCGCGATGTCCATCATGATAACGACGACGACGACGATGATGAGAGCTCTTACACCAAGTCTCGGAGCATCAATTACATACTCCGGCAGCCGACGATCGTGAATCGGTTCGCCGTCGGGGAAGAGAAATTGGGGATCGGAGGGAGATGCGCCGATGACGGAGTTCATAGAGTTTTCTGGGAGGAGCCGGCGGCGAAGAGGGCGAGGAATGACGGTTGTGATGTGGAGAGGGAGAAGGGGAGAGAATCTGAGTCGGTGCTGAGACTGGCGAAGGAGATTAGGGCATTCTCGGAACGGATTGTGGGGATGGAGAGTATGAAGATGGAGATGATGAAGGAGACGGAGAGGTGTAGGATAGAGATGGAGAGCAAGAGGATAGAGATGATCATTCGGTCACAGCACAAGATTGTGGACTCCATTGCTAGGGCTTTTGGGTCCTCGTCGCCTAATCGGTTGAGCGTCACGAAAGCAGAGAGTTGAACTTGAAGAAAGGTTGTTCGTTTTCATCTCTTTTGTTCTTCTTCTCTCTCTCTCTCTCTCTCTATAACATTGAATTTTTTTGTTTGCAATTTGGGACTCGATTAGAAATGATAGTTTTTCCTCAGGTTAGTTAAGTGCAAAGTTGAACCGAAAATTTTTACACGATTTCTCAAAGTATGAATGTCTTTAACATTTGTTGGCATTAAGTGTAATATGCCTATTTGCTTCTACTTTGTAACGGGGCAGTCTTGTTGGCAACTTCAATATATTGGAATTTGAAAGTGTGCGTGTTTTAAGTTTTAACCGTGAGATATAATGTTAGACTGGCATTGCCATTATGGTATATGCATGTCTTTACAAAAAGGATGTCTCGATCGTCTCTGAAGATCGTCATTCAGAGTATTTTACCCCCACCAAGAATTTCTATCTTGTCTTTTGAGGCTAAATTGTGTATGAAATTGGTCTACTTTTTAATTTTTCTAATCGCATGTTCATGGATTACTCAATCATTTTAAGCTTGCAAGCCTTGGACAGCTTTTTTTTTTTTTAATTTATTTTCTGGGGAGGAAAAGTATCTCCCTAATCTTGATGCCTGGAAAATTAATGTACGGATTTACTTTTTAGGCATAGCAGGGAATGGGATTACCCATCCTGGGCATGTCAAATTATGCATCTTCAATATTTAATTTGCAGCTCTAACTAGGCAGAGTTTGAGTTTCTTCTAAACCTCCGGAGCCTGTTCCTTTTTCCTCTAAAAACTACGAACCATTAGTTCAATTGAAATCATTGTTGTTTCTGAAGGTCGAGTTATGGCGGGTTTACCAGAGAAGTTTTGATGGACATGTATCTTCAACGACAGTTGAAGCAAAAGCTTTACTTGATGAAGTGCTAAATCTCCGTCTCCAGGTGTTGGGCGATGAAAGATTGCATTAATGGTGGTTCAAGCTTTGAAGATTTCTAATTCAATTCGAACAAAGTTCTGTTACATTCATCCAATTTGAACTGCTAGCAGCTCACTTTGGCTAAATTTTGCCCCTAGGTTGGATGATGTATTAGTTTGGTAGGAGGAATCTCCTCCATCTACTTTATTCTGTTATTGTATCAGATGCTCAATTCTAATAACAGATTAAACTTATTTTCAAATAACAATAATGATAATAATAATAATATAAAGCCAATGGCTAGCAATACATGACAAATCAAGATGAAAATGGGGAAAATGAAATATTATTCAGCGCCACCATGGAAGAGAGATTCTTTTCCCCCAAGGGAGAGATGAGTAATAAACATGAAAAAAAAAAAAAAAAAAAAAAAAAAAAAAAAAAAGGGGGGGGGGGGGGTGTTTGGGAGAAAAACACACACAAACTAACTAACTACGCTGTTAACTCTAAAATTCATCCCAGCAGATGATTGATCCGCTATCAGAGACTTTTGCATTATAGGAACTGAGAAATTTCGTTACAGATTACAATGATTCCACAGACGCCCATGGCATTGAGAGATTGATGATTGTTTCTAACACCATTAACCAGTGTGTACACCAGAACCCAATATTCACAAAATTTGCAAAAGGCTTTTGCCCCATAAAAATGATTGCTACCCCCCTGACATGAAAGGGTAATGATACATACTCTAATCTACCCTAAGAAAAGAAAAAAGGGTCCCCACTGCAGCAGGTCATAGAAACCGGAAAACGGTAGGAAAAAAAAGAAAAAAAAAAAAACGAGAGATGAGACCCTGTACACATACCTCTATATCAGTCTCCATCTTCCCGAGCTCTAGAGGGAGTGGTAATTTACATGATTTCAAAAAATCAAAAGGAAAATCCCTTGCCAATATAGCTTCAGTAGTCCCAGTTAAGTTTTAACAAAACCTGAAATAATAATCAGCATCTCTATCTATCAATGCCCTTGTCGAATAACCAGCTTCATCTGCATACAACCCCACACACCAATCAGCTTCTTTCTCGCTTATCCAGCCAAAAAACAAAAAAACAAAAAACAAAAACAAAAACAAAAACAGAAAGCTTCTTCCTTTGAACCAAAAATGCAGTGAAAAAGAGTGCAATATGGATCCTATAGTCACCAGATCTAGATTAAACACATTCGCAATTTATAAATTTAAGTTGCTGTGGTAGAATTCATTTTGAGTATGAAAAGAAATGCAGGCTCCATATGAGCATATGGTGCTTCTTCATGATTAGGAAATTCAGTGAAATTCAAGTGCTCGATGTGCTGTACCACGTTAGGAGCATTTTTTTCCTTCACCTGGGTAATGCTATGTCATATCTACAATGCATGAGTTTAGTCTTGTGAAGAGAATATTTAAGAGATGCAACTACCTGTACACGGCTGTAACAAGGGCAAAAAGGCCCAACCCTGAGAGGACCGGTTGGTCTCAGAATAGCTCCATTTTCATGGTTGCTTCATTCCGGTTTAGAATTAGCAGGCCTCAAATACAAACTTCCCTGCCCTGCTTGCAGATGTTGTATTTGCTGTTGAGGCTGCTGTTGCAAGGGCACTTGATTTTGAGGTGACTTTTGCTCTGGCTGTTGTTGCTGTTGTTCTTGTTGCATATACTGCTGGGATGCAGGTGGCAACGCCGGAGACTGTTGTACTGATTGTGGTGGCTGCATCTGCTGCTGTGACTGCTGCCACTGAGCCCCAACATTATGTCCATGAGAGGACAAGCTACCAGATAATTGTCTTGGACCTAGCCCTTGATTAACAGATGGTTCAGTTCCAGATGAATTTGTAAGGGATGGGCTCCCAACAGAACCTGCTTGAATGGTTGAATTTGGAATATTAGAGTCATAAACAGCAAGTTCTGATGATTTCCATTGGGGTGCCGCAACAGGCATTGCAACAGCAGAATCCATAGACTGAGATATTGCCACGCCTGCACCCACCTGAGAACCATTATTTACAGGCTGCTGCTCAGCTTGAGGTAGATCATTCTGGGACTTCTTCGGCATCTCAGAATTCACTTGGCGATTTTGTTGAATCATTTTCTGAACGCCTGGTTGAGTTTGATTGGCTGGCTTTTGATGTGGCTGTGACTGTGGCTGTAGTTGCTGGTGATTGGAACCCATAACTGCTGGGGGAACAACTTGATGTGATGATGATAGCATATGACCTGAAGAAACTGGTGGAACTTGGCCTTGAGTGCTGTTATCTGAATGAGAAGGCATTTGCTGGAGTTGCTTCGTCGAAGGGGGAGCCGAGCTAGAAAGTAGCTTTGGCTGCAGCTGTGAATGGTTCGAAGACTGAGGAACCATTGCCTTCGGTGGATGCATTGAATTGAGACCAGACCCTGGATACACTCCTTGTCCTTGCATCAACTGCATAATTTGCTCTCCTTTCTCCAGAGGCTGGCTTCCTGGGGGCAAAGAAAGGCCATTTAAATGAGAAGGGTCCACAGATAGGTTCTGAACCATCCCTCTTCCTACCCCCTTCAAAAGTTTAGCTTGCTGCTGAGACTGCACATGTTGCCGTTGCTGAGGATGGTGCCTACCAGTTTGTTGAAGATGCTGCTGCTGTGGCTGACGCTGTCGTTGCTTTCCTATCTGATTGGTCAATCCACTAGTACCAGGATTCCTACTTATCCCATGAGTAGGAAGGTGATGTTTCTGCTGATGCTGCGCCGACATGGCAGTCATTGGGGAAGAAGGTGTTAAAGGAGACAGCGATACTGGTTGAGATGGAGTTTGTGATTGAATCTGGGAACTATTTTGTAGATTTGACGAAACAGGAAGGTGGGTCGGCGGCTGGACATGTGATATTAGAGCATTAGATGCAGCAAACTGTTGCTGCTGTTGCTGCTGCTGCAAATACCGTTGCTGCAGCTGCCTTTCTTTAGCAAAACGGATTGCATATGCTTGCTGCTGTGAACCCGCAGCATGATTGGGGCCTTGAAGATGAGTGTGATGAGGGCTGCTAAGTCCATGGGACTGTTGCGAGGACACCTGATGCTGCTGCTGGGGATGGCCAGGATATGATGGAACTGGTGGCTGCGTTGTCTGGTTAGGAAAGGCAGCATTCAAACCATTGAAGGGAGTAACCCCTTGGCTGTTCCCTTGTGCCCCCTGCATTTGAAGCTCTGGCATTATCATTTGCCTTTGATGCTCTGCATTATGTCCGGGCTGTGATGAAACATTATCTTGTCAAATAAGGCTCTAAGACCAGAAATTAAGGGCCTGTTCTTTTGAGTGAAAAACTCAAAAAAATGCAACTCGAGTTACAACTTTATTCGAGTTCATGTTCTTTTAAGTTTAAACTCGAGTTTAAACTCGAGTTCAAACTCGAGTTTATGACTAAAACTCGAGTTCAAGTTTCCCCTTCAACTCGAGTTCAGAAACTCGAACTCAAATTAATGCCCCGTATTTTTTCTATTCTTAAAAATGCTATAACTTTTTCGTTTTAATTATGATTGAGATGATTTTTTTTTTCTATGCGTTGACAACGAAAAGACGAATAAAACCCGACCCATATACCCTATTAAAATTTTTCATCAGCATTGAGTTTTTATTAAAATACTATCTAAATACAAATTCAAGTTTTGACTCAATCAAACACAAACTCAAAAAGATTCTTATCTCAAGTTAAAGTTATAACTCAAATGTACACAACTAAACACAAACTCAAGTTACAAGTTCAACTCAAGTTATAACTCAAATTCAACTCAAGAATTATACTCAAGTTAAACTCCAAAATAACAAGCCCTAAGTTTCCAATTAGTGTACAAGATAGCAGTGACATGCAGCAAATGCTTATGCACAAGATAGACCTAATATAAATTACTCTTCCGGATATCTCTGATTTAAACAAAAAACTGGGGAAATAGTAATAAATACTTCAAGCGTTCCTATTACCAACAGAAGCAACCATAGTCTAGAAAAATGCAAGTAACTCACCCTCATCATCTGCAAAGCCTCACGAGGTCTTATCATTGAGTTTCCTTGACCAGAACTACCTCCAGCATGCATATTAACAGGGCTTGGGAGCCCTACCATACTAGATGAAAGCATACTCCCAGAATTCAGCATAGATGATGAAGTAATTCCCTGGTACCCTGGCCTTGAGATTGGCATGCTTCTGTTCATCCCTGCCATGATGCCCATACCATTTCCACCAGGTAGCATACGTACTCCATTTCCAGAAAGAGCACCAGGTACGGGCAAGCTGGATTGCTGAATATTTCTACCAGATAAGACGTGATTATATTGTTGCATTCTTTGCTGTTCTTCAACGGGTAAAGAAGATGCTCTTGGAACATTGTACCGACCATCCCTGAACATATTTATAGGGACAAAAAAAGAGTTTCTATTAACAAATATTCTATTAAAAGACCAGGCGCTCCTAACAATCTGAAGCAACACAATAGTGTCTTACCTAACAGTGGCATTATGTACAGCCGATGGCGACGACAAGTTATTGCCCAGAACCACACCAGCAGATCCTTGTAGGGGGGAATTTGCCCCGGAAGGAAGTAACGATGCAACAGCACCCTGGTTTGGTGATAAACCGCTAGCATGAGAACCTTGACATCCGAGGGAAAGGACATCTTGGTTTGACGGAGTTGTATCACAGAGATCGAGAGGCCTTAACACAAGGAGAGCAGCAATTGTATCATGTTATTCACAGCACAAGCATTTAAATATGAGCCGGAAACATGAAGAGATAGATAAATCTCACAAACGAAAACAAGGATTTGAAAATAATGGATAATGCTATTTCATGCACAAAGGAAACAGAACTTACGTTAGAACACCTCCATTCAGATTATTTGGGCAGGCTTGGGAAAGAGAAATAACATGAGAATTGTGGACTGGTGCTATTTGTTTCAGATCCTGGTTTTCATTCTTCACAGAAATTCACAAGAACACAAGAAGATCAGGAAGGAAATCAGAAATGGAGAAGCACATCAAGGAAAGGCTCATTATCTAATGTTATGCCCAGCAAATACCATGAATGAGGATCACAAAACTAATGTACCATGTTTAAAAGAGTAGTAAATTCAAATGCTTTTACAAACCTGAGTCCTGCGATGATGTTGCTTCTGCCCGATCTTAATGATTTTCTCAAAATGAGACTTGAGAGTATCCTCCTCCATTGGCTCTTGCAAACGTTGGAATAACTGCCTGGCACTTCCCTGCTTCAACAAAAACACCAGCCAAATGAAAAAATTGCAGGCCTTACACAAATACACAAGACTGAAACACTTCAAAAATATCAAATCTTGCCTTTGGAATGCCTGGTAAGGTAGATGGATAAGGCTGAGATGACCCTGAATCTTCGGCACTATCAGCCCCATCACCAGAAGTTTTTTCCATTAATATTTTGTGACGCTCCTTGCATTCTTTAGGCTTACGAAAGATGCACTGTAAATCTTGAACAAGTTAAAAACAGTTGCGAGAAGAAACTAACAAAGTGCTGAGTACCAAGAAGGAAAAGTACCACTAAGAACAATTGAGAAAAACGTACAAACTCTCCAAACCTCAAAAGGCGTGACCTTTTTTTTTTGGATAAGTAAAGGCAGTATACTGTTGATAGCATATATACTTACCTTGAAATGCAGGGTACTGTTGATAGCATCACTTATGAGCTCCCAATTTGGACCCATGTCATGTACGAGGACAACAAGTGCCTACAGTAGTAAAAACAGTAATACTCTTGTAGTTAAAAGCAATTCTAATGTAACATTTGGAAAAATGACAGAATAAATAACAGATAGTAAAAACAGTAATACTCTTGTAGTTAAAAGCAATTCTAATGTAACATATGGAAAAATGACAGAATAAATAACGGTCACAGACCTGGTCTTCGAATAATGTCCAAGGACTCCCAGAACCTGGCTGCCCAGCAGATATCTGCAAGAAGATTAAATGCTCAAATTTAACGAATAAACAATACAAGGTTAATAACAATAATTATTAGTATTATTTATAAATAAATAAATAAAACAAAAACCACCCTATGAATTCGAGGTACAAGAGAAAAACAACCACAACAGCAAAAACCAATCAAAAAGAATTCCTATAATACTGTAAAATAATGAAAACGATGAAGAAGTACCTTCAGCAATTTAGTTTTTCGACCTCTATCTCGGCCACCAATCAATTTTATAAATTTACTTGTGTTAGACATATTATTTTGGGATGCCACTGGAGAAGGAATGGAACCAGTCATTGAAGTGATGTTGTCAAAAGTATTCTCCAGTGATTGTTTCGATATCTTTGGCTTCTTGGCACTATGTTGCCCATATAAACCTACAGAACAAAAGGTTTTAAACACACGATACAGAAAACAAAATGCCAGGTATTTTCTGAACCAACTAAAACAAATACCAGATAGAAAATGACTTTTACCACTTGTGCCATTAGATTCAAAATGATGATTTTCAGTTCTCTTTTTAGAATGATCCCTCTGCATAACGAAAAGTACCATGAAAAGTCGAATTACTACCACAGAAAGTTCGCAGCAAATAAGACAATTATTTATTCAACACTTCTTCTAATTTAAAGTCTAAAATCAAACTGCATTGAATAATTCAACTTAAAAATTCAAACAGAAATCACATAAAGCAACTTTATTGACTACCTGATCATTAACAGTAGTAGAATCCAGCTGCCATCCCTGGTCATACGTGGAGCCCTGCAATGTAGAACAAAAGGAACTTAACCAGAGAAAAGAATAAACAAACAGAAATTGATGGATTAGCGTGACCGGATGTTGATATATAAGTTTGATGTACCAGATGTTTTGCCTTCTTCTTCTTTTTAGGTTTCATTGATGTTTCTGCACAGTCATACGTCAAATGCTTATCAAAATCCCCAACAGACTCAACTTCCATACTTTTCTGGAACTGGGATCCACCATGCAAGGTACTCTGGTCATCCTGAAAGGAATTAGTATCTCCACTTGAAGCATCCGTCTTCATCTGAACCTGTAAATTTGCAGTAGGCGCAGCACTAAAAGGGCTGACAACCCTCTGCCTGGAAGCAGTGCGCATGCGTTTTGTAGGAATTGAACCAACATTGAGATTGGCAGGCCTTTTTCCCATCAACATGGATTGTTGAGTGGCAGAGTTGCACTGTCCATAAGGCAACTCAGCTCCCGCTTCATATGGCCTTGTGTATGAAACTATGTTCTTTCGTCTCTTCTGGATAGATTTTGATGACTTGCTACCTTCAAAGGCTCCATGCAAATAATATGTACTTGTTTCTCCTTCGTCTTCGGCGAATGCATTCTCTTGAAAACTGTAATCTGCAATCCAAAATTCACTCTTAATGAGCAGAACGGCAAAAGATAAGACATCAAAATCCTTTCAGACTCTTGGTTGTACCTGCTACAGCATCATACATAGACGTCTCAACCTCCTCTTGCATGCTACTTCCAGTTTTCTGGAAATTTTTCAATTGCATAATTAAATATTTTAACCCAAAAGGTACAAAAATATACCACATAGTTACTGAAGCAAAGCAAATAACATCAACAAATAGAAATATAAAAATACAATGATGTATTCTTATCAAAATGAAGCACGAACTACATTCCTACAATCATAGATTCAGAATAAACTCACCACGGCATTTTTGGCCTTTGAAGCTAGGGGAAAAAAAACACAACAAAAATAAAAACAAACAAAAGACACACACATGCACAGAGGGGCACGCATGTACCTCAATCTGTACGAGATGAGCTTCAATAGATTTTCTGTAAGTTTCCATTGCACCCAAGGGAACTGTGTAGAACAGATTCTCCTGCCAAAATAGTCCTCAATGCATAATAATATTCTATAGAAACCTATGATTATATGTGCAACAAGCAATTAACCCATGTAATATGCAAGTTGCCTCTTTAAGCACATGCAAAAGGATCTCAAACTTAAGAATGTAATTAATATGTTGACTTTGCATTTGTGTATGTGCGTGCGAGGACAAGAGTGTGACAGAGAGAACCAGAGGTGAGGAAGGAGTGTGAGATGGGTGGCTCATTTCAGTTTAGTAATGTGATAAAAAAGACCATAGGCAAAGCTAATCATACTTCCGTAAAATGATCCTCCCAGGAAATTTCCTGAATGCCCAAATCGGAGATCCTCTCAGGTGTTGCCGGTGCCTCCGCTTTGACTGCCATACCAATAGAGCTGTTATATTTCAAGAATCGCACTGCATAACCCTGCACAGCAAGTGCAACATCCTTTTTGGGATATTGAACTTTCAATTCTTCCACTGGATCCTACAGATGACCAGGATATATATCAGTAACAAATAGCATATAAAATTATAAAATATTTAACATCTGTGAAAAATAAATAAATATATAAATAAATAAAGGTAAAGAAGTTTGGGTATGTCTGATCTTAACCGGACACACATAATTTGGTATGTCTGATCTTAAGCGGACACACATAATGGAGACCTCAGAAGCGCATCTTTTAGCACATGAAACTTGGGAAAAGATGGATGGATAGATTTATCTAACACTTTAGCCCCAGCTCCAGATAAAGAACAAATTAGATACCATCTAGGGTTCCAAATTTCCTATCATTAAATTGACTGAAGCAGCAAGCAACCATTAAAACAAGTCCAGAAAAATACCAGCAGCATGTTGGATTTGTCATTCTTGTCTTTAGAAACTTCTTCTGATGCCTTTCCAACCAAACCAGACTTGCAATTTTCCGGAGAAACGGTAAGGTCACCAGAGTTTAAAGTCACCTCAGCTGAATGCCAAAATTGCATGACAGCCTTTGCCAAGTTATGAGCAAGTTCTTTCACTTTGGAACGCTGATGCTGTTCTTCAAATCTCAACTGAGAAGTAAAAGCAACCCGGTGACATATCTGGGCAGCAGCTGTTATCTTCCAAAGACGCTCCTATAACAATTATAAAAAAAAAAAAAAAAAGAAGTCTACTAAGATACATAACAATAGAGATTAAAAAATATACACATTTTATTGTTTACTAATTATTTTTAAGATAAATTCATACAGATAAAGACATTATCCCACATGTGCCGACAAGGACAAGCACAATTTTAAGTGGGAAAATAATCCTCTATAAGATATATCCACAATGTCAGACCTGTGCAAAATCATTTGCCAACCATGCCATTTCCTCAAGGACAAAATCCCAATGAGATTTCCGACGATTCTCAGGCGGCATAGAACGAACAGATAATTCAGCAATCCTTTTACGCTTGGCCTATGTACCACATTACGTCGTCAGTTTAGATTTCAATCAAAGAAACTAACAAGTTTGTACAATTGAAATTTTGAGCACAAAGTAAAGGAGGATATAGAACCTCTATAATTCGAGCCTCTTCCAAAACAGAGTCTTCTTGTGCTTTGTCTGCGACTTTCAAGCTATTAACAGAAGTTGTCTGAGGATCAGTGGCCACGGTAGAATGCATCTCAGACAAAGTAGCATCAGGACGTTCATGCATAGAGATATCCACGGGATCGTGGCATCTCCCAGCAGAATTCTCCTTGTCCAGGCTGGAATTATTGTTTGATACATCCTCTACTTTTCCATCCGTTTCTGATAGCACATGGTCACAGTGTTGAACTACCTCACTGTTTGAAAGAATCTTACCTTCACTTTGCAATTCAGATGCACTTTCATGTGCATCTTTATCGATTTTGACTGCACGAACATTTTCAGAATGGTTTCGACAAACAGAAGAGTGGTCATCATTAATGGCAGCACCATGATTAGCAGCTTCCGTTTCATCCTTACCCTTTACTGGTTTAGCAGCAGCAGTACCAGGTAGCCCTTCAACATCTGATGTTTTTCCCATAGACATTCCATTAGAATCAATGTTCCTTGCATTAGTGCAAATATCACTATCTTTATGTACATCTAATCCTAGGCTCTTTTGGGTGGTGCAGAAAGACTGAGAATCTAAACCTTTTGTTCCTACAGCTGCATTGCTAAATTGAACTTCATTTACTACAGTTTTATTCTCTTTCAAGTCACTAAATCCATTCAGCTGAGAAGAAGTGGTTTCCTTATCAGTATTTATTGTAGCTCCACGAGGCAGACATTCCAAACCTGATGAATCCAGCTTTTCCTTTTCTCCAACATCAGACTCCTTAGAAACCATATCAGTAGGAGTTTGCTGAACGCTAACTTGAGATGGTTGAGTGTGTAGGTTCTCAAGTGAAGTTTTGGGAGCCATAACATCCAATTTACTTTCTTGCAAGCTAGCTTTTGCTGTTCCAGATGTTATCCCTGGAACCCTTTCACCATCCAATTCTATATCCAATTGATTATCAGAAGCAACAACCTTAGTAGTTATATCACCATTTGAACTTGCAGACTTTAGGTTAGGATTAGACGTTGTGTGCTGGTCCTTTGGATTATTCTTTTCACACATCTGTGCCTTAGCATCCCTTAAGCCTCCACGAACAGGTAAAGTAGATCCCTGACCACCACGATTCTGCCCCATATCAATTGCATTTGATCTAGCACCCTCACGATTTGATCTAGACCGATTCCTTCGAGCATATGGACGGACGATCGCTGAATCTTCTGATTCCTTAGCATTTTGAGTCCCATCAATTTGGGAGGATTGTTCTGATGGAACAATATTACTCCTCCGAGCAGGATGTAAAGAGTTCCTTTCTCCTTCAGGCAAATCATGGTCACCGTCAAAAAGTAAGAGATTATCAGCGGTATTAGGTTCACAAACTGCGGGAGCCCCGGGCCTACCACTACTATCTACAGAATCCCCATGAGGGGAGGCAGTCAATGCAAAACTGCCTTTTGCTTCACTGCCCCAAAAAAAAAAAAAAGAGGGGGGGAGAGAGGTGAATTTCAGTGAGCAGCAATAAATTATAGTATTGTCAAAAATGTTTATTAACAGAAAAACAGAACTATACCTGGTCACAAATTGTTCCGGATTTTGATCAGTAAGTGAAGTAGATTGGACACTAACAGAAGATGCGTTCCCAAATTTAAAGTCTAAAGGATTGCCACCCTAAAAGAAATATGCACATGAGTGATCATTAAAAACATTTAAAATAAATAAAGAGTTGAGTAGAAAGTAAAGACAACTGCTGAATAATCAAGTCATCATACTTTTTCAAGAAATTCTAGCTCCCTTCTTCTTTCCTCACGCACATCATACTCCTGCCTGTTATAAACATGGTTCATCATATTGGTTGATGTAAGACACGATAACTATTCCAAAAATCAAAATCGGAAATAGTAAATACAAAAGAGAACATCAGACCTAAGCTCCGCTTGAGCCTTCTCAATCGCTGCTCGACGAGGAGAAGTTTTCAAACCAATACCAACTCCCCCGTCAACAACTCCTCCCATGGAATCAACTTCAGCATTTACTATGAGAGCAGATCCTGAGCTACATCCATGCATTCCTATCCTAATATCAACAATCTCTCCCTTCCATCTAATTGAAATATCTACAAAATTTCTAAAAGCAGAAGCATAAGAGAACTGATGTAGAAAAACAGAATCAACGCATGAAATAAAAAATGTCAACAACCAAAAAAATACACATATTAAAAAAACAAAAAAAAAAGCGTTATCACATATTAGCAAGAAAATGGTGATGCGTAATAAGTACCCTGAAAGAGAAAAAATAAATAAATGATGTAACAGTTGAATCAAAATAGAAAACAAGACAGGTATATCGCTTATCAATTTACCACCCCCGCACCACTGTGTAACAGAAATGACGTTGTTTACATTTGTGCATAAGCCCACTTACATATTGTAGTTGCCTTTATATAAAGTATAATCAGGTTTGAAGTTTTATACGAGGGGGGAAGGAACCTTGAAGAATGAAATTATGAATAGCAATTGGGTACATAAGCACAACTCAAATATATTCTGTGTGTACATAGAGAGAGAGAGAGAGAGAGAGAGTAAATATTATGAAATAACTATGCAATTAGATAGAATATAGCATAGCTTAGATTCCTGTCTTAGTGAAAATGGCTTTCTTGGACCATTTACAAAATAACAGATAGAGGAGGAGGAGAAGAAGCAGAAGAAGAAGAAGAAGAAGAAGAAGAAGAAGCAATTTCCTTTTCTATTACTCATTGCAAATATAATGTATCTCTCATTCAATCTAAAATCCATAAAAGTATCTAATGACTCTTAGCACTTAGCAGCATATAAACAGCCAAACGAGTAATCCATTATAAACCTCAGCAAACAACTCTATACAGCAATAGCAAAAAGCAGTGTCCCAGTTCACGTATTACCGCTAGAGAGAGTTCAGCACTTTAAAATAAAAAAATGAAAAAAAAATGCGTTCTGTAAAAAGTAGAAATACCAAGACTGAGCAATGAAGACAAATACTAGTCGAGATCTTCCCTCATTAACAAAGACATGAAGATGTAAAGTAGAAGAAGAAGCGTCCCTTTATGTACATACTATGTTTATAAACACTCAAATTTATGCAACCATCTTGCCGCCAATTTAATCCCTTCGAACTTCGACATTAGCGTACTAAACCGAATACATAAAACTCTCCGAAAAGGCTATTACACAATTCCCTGAGCAACTAATCAGATGCAAGAACAAGTTCATGAGAAATCATGGAATTCAATCGCATTTCAAAGCACTAATCCCATGCACAAGACGACCTACGACGCAAACCCGCGGGCATTCACTCACAATGCACAACACGAAACGAAACGAAGAACGAATTCAGACAAATTCCCCAACCAACGAAGGCCTAATTCCATTCAGCCCCAACGGATTGGACAAGTTGGGAATTCTAGGGTTTTTCCAATACCAGCTTGGGAACGAGGAGTCACCTGAAATTGAGAGCGGAGTTGCGAAATTGGAAGCTAGGGCACGACGGTGGGGCGAGGAGAGACTTCAATTGCGGCAAGTTTCTCTCTCCTAGGGTTTAAAATGGGGAACGCCACGGGGGGGCTCAATGGAAAACACCCGAACTAGCCCTAGCAAACAAGACGTCCCTGAAAATGTCAGCCATGGAAGCGTTTCCGAATCTCCTCCCGAGGCCCTTAGGGCATGAGTTTGAATGTGAATTTTGTTCGTTGTTCGTTGCTAGGTTTCGGATTTTTGGTTTTTCGTTGTTCGTGAAGTTGGGGAAGAGAGGAAGGAAGGAAGGAAGAGGGAGGAACTATGCGACCTCTGCGAGTAGTGGGCTGGGCATGGGGAAGAAGACGCAGAAGAGGGCTTTGGGAAATTGGACGTCCATTTTGGGCTTTTATTTTTTTTTTTTTTTAATTTTCAAAAAAATTAAAATAAAATTTTTCTCAGTTTTATGTTAATTTTTTCGAGTTTGTTTCTTTTCTTGCTTTGATGATTGGGGTCGACAAGGAAGATGGAACACCTCCCGGCATGAAATTTTAGAAGTATTTTAAAGGGTAATGCTTGGATATTGTAATGATTTCTTATATGAGTACCTCGAAAATTTTATTTAAAAAATGTTATTACAAATCTACAATCTACAATTCGTTATAAATATCTAAATAATGAATAAATATAGCTGTGGCCATATTGATATTCTATTTTAAAAGCTAATTTAAATTTCACGCGGGGAATTTAAATAATTTGCTTTTGTAATGCAAGCCTCTTATCACTTTTAGTGTCTCTCTTTTAATTGTTGTATTTGATTTGATTTTTCTCACTAAAAATTAAATGAGCACGGCAAAGTTGTAGAACATTTTGTTATTTGGTGTGAAAAATATATTCTATTCACGGTGAACATTTTATGAATCAATGAATTTTATCAGATTTGTATGTTTGTTGAATTATAGGAAAAAAAACTCAAATTGGCAAAAGTTGTACCATATCTCATAAGCCATCAAGTTATAAAACAAATGGAGTTTCAAATTTTAAATTGGATGCACACTAGAGTTATGTTTATTTTACCGATTCGAGTTTTATTACAGTAAAAAGCTCTTAAAAACAGTCACATCTAACTTTTTTACTACAGTAAAAAACTCTCACATAAGATCATATCTCAACTCAAATTAAAAAACTCGAATCAACGAACTAAACGGGTCTTAGGATAGTGAATTTTAACATAAAACTGTAATCGTGAATTTTGGCGCGTCATATTGCACAATTAATAAAGTAACGAATTTTAACATAAAACTGTAATCGTTAACTTTGACATATCATTCTAATCAATAAAGGAAATGAATTAAATTAATTATTATATTTTCTCGCACATTAATATCTTATAAGTGTTGAGACTCCGTAAACCCGTCAACTCTATCTATAATAAATCTATATCACTAGAGTTGAAAGTTGGGGACTCGTGATGCCTTTAGGTCTTGATAGCTTTTTTTTTTAATTATAATTCTTAATTAATAACTTAGAGTTGGGGACTCTAAAGAATAACATAACAAGATTGTACATCTGTAAATTTAATTTGCCTTTAAAAAAAATGGAATCACTTACGTGTTCCATACTGCATAAACCATCAAAGTTATAAAACAAATTAGGCAGTTTCAAGTTTTAAACAGCATAAGTATAATGAGATGCCAAAAATTAATAAAAGAGTGCATTTGTTAACTTAAGCGTGTTGTATTAAGTTGAGCATAAGTATAATGAGATGCCAAAAATTAATAAACGACTGCAATTGTTAACTTAAGCGCGTTGTATTAAGTTGAGAGCTCTACAAAGGATACCTTATATGGAATCGAACTCAAGACTTCCTACTTATAAGATGAGGTCTCTAACCATTTAAGTTACCCCTCATTATGACATGAAATTGTAACTGATTAATAATATATAAAAATTAAACAGATTTTCTAGATCTAGATAAAACAATAGTGCCGTGTTTGGAATTGTTCTTATTTTTGTTTTTCACGTTTTTTGAGAACAAAAAATGAAAATGATTCTAAAATGTCATTTTGCATAATTAAAGACAAAAAATGGAAATGAAAGAGAGAGAAAGAAATATTAATGAGTTTTTTTATACTGAAAATAATCTCTTGATAAAACTACCAAAACGCATTTTTAAAAATGATTTTTGTCTAAGATTGAAAATGTTTTCATTTTTATTTTTATACAAAAAATAAAATCATTTTAAAATGAATTCCAAACGCACCCTACATTTATGAATTACTTCACCTACTTTTTTTTAATGAAATTATTCATGTGTCAACAATTTAGGAAACATATATATGGATATAGGAATTTCTAACATACATATAAAAAGAGGAATGCAACCTTATTATTTAAGTTTATATTATTAAAATGACCTTATTATATCTACTATATATAATAAAAGCCTTTTAGAGCATATAGGTGTCATTGAAATTTTTTCTCATCTTTACCCTTTTTCTTTTTAGTTTTTACTTTTTTACATGTTTGTTTTTATATATTTTTTGTCTCTTATACAGTTGTCAACTTTTTTTGTCATTTACACTCTTCATCTTTTTTACTTTTAAACTTATTATTACATACTCTTTTTCTCTTACTTCGAGTTAAAAAAAAAAGATTAATTTTTGTTTCCATTTATACCCTTCACATTTTATATTTTTTATTTACTTGTTATATACTCTTTTATCTTACTTAGAGTTAAAAAAACCGGTTTTATTGTGTTTCCATTTATACTATCATCTTTCGTGCATTTACACATTTTATCTTTTATGCTTTTTACTTCATTATTTTATACTCTTTTCTCTTACTTACAATTTAAGAAAATGGTTACATTTTTGTTTTTTTTATGCCCATAATCTTTTATAATTTTTACTTATTTGTTATATATTCTTTTCTCTTACTTAGAACTTAATAAAAAGTGGTTTAATTTTTTTATCCACTTATACTATTAATTTTTTGTATTCTTTTTTTACTCGTTATCTACCCTTTCCTCTTATTTAGAATTTAAGAAAAAGTGATTTAATTTTTATTTCTATTTATATCATTTATTTTTTATACTTTAAACTTACTTATTATCGATTGTTTTCTTTTGTTTAGGGCATAATAAAAAGTGAAAAATTAAATAATGATTGTATTATGACGATCATATTATAATTAGAACTTATTTGTTGCTTTATAAAATTGTTTATGTAGACAATATATATGATAGTCAAATTCATTCCTTAGTAGATATATGTGCCTTTTTTACTATTTTTACAATTGGCACGTGAAAATGTTAAAGAAACTTCAAACTTAAAAAAATGCACATTTTATCTTCCATGACCCAATTAATTCGTCCTCAATATATTCATTTTGCAAAATTAAAAGGAAGGAGGTTTTTTGTACTCCAATCCTACTAGTAGTATATGTTTTTGACCGTCAAATCATGTTAAAATTACATCAAATTGAAAAAAAATATGCAAAATAGATAAATTCTGGTACAAGTTGGAGGCTAAAAATAAAAAATTACTGGTAATTCATTGTGTTTATCCTACATGAGAAGCTTCTTAAAAAGTATTATTTGAAAATTAAACTTTTACTAGCCCATTTGGTAAAGGATGAATGGGATAGTTTAAGGAAAAGATTCAATGTTAAAATTTCGAGAATAAATATAACTAAGAATGCATAAATATATATATTTAAAAAATGTCTTAAATCTGACACTCGGATCAATCTAATAAATGTAATTTTTTTTCGTGTTTTGTGTACTCATTTAAAAAAGAATTATATTATAATATATTCTCGTTTATATATGAAGGAGAGAAGCTTTACCTAGCTTTCATCTTCAGTTGTCTACCATACTTGATTAGTCAAGGTTGATTCCTCTCTAATGGCATCAATGGCATGTTTACTTATACGTAATTGGAGTGAACATGATTCGGATTGGATATGATTCGGAGTGGACAGAAATCAGAGTCAGAATAAGGTATTTACTTAAGTTTTAAGAATTGGAGTCGGAATCAATCCCAATCTCATTCATGTGTTTACTAACACCCATAATCGGAATAAACTGTTATAAATTTACTTACCTAACCATTTAGTATATTTTTATGTGTTGAACTTTAAAATATATATATATATTGTGCTAACTATCTTAATATTAAGATAATTAATTAGTAATTAGATTTTTTTAATCACACTTAGATTTTTGTAATTAGTAATTAGAAATTGTAATTGTTTGGATCTCCAGGAATACTTGAAATGATGTTGTGCAATCAAGAGGCAAAACATGGTTTGATCACAAATTCAACAAATAAACACACACAAAATAAAATAAAATAAATAAACTTGCGATTCAATAAAAAAAACCACAATAATTTATGTTATTGACTCACCTTGAAGAAAAGAGGGATGCTCTTGGTTGTTGTGGATGCAATGTTGTGTTTTGAGGAGAAGAAAATATCAGAGGAATTGAGCAAGGAGATACGAGAGGCGTGAAAGTAAATCAGGGCATTGTAAAATCGTAATTCACATTTACTATCAGGATTGCGAGTGATGGGGGGTGGAGGGAGTGCCAATCTCATTTCTCAACCCCAAATTGGTATGGGACCCACACACTCTCACTCTCATTTCAAGATAAAAATGGGTAAGTAAACATGAAGTTGATTCTGATTCCCCATTATTAGTAAGTAAACATGCCACAAATGTCTTGAGTGCTATACAAGGAATGACGCTCAACACAAGATTGTAGGGCTTCGCATGGTATTCCGAAGAGTCATCATAATCCATGTTGCTAATGTTCCAGACTAGTCTTCAAACAAGAATTAGGGGGTTTATTGCCATGTTTGTTTCAACAACTTAAACTGTTGGTTAGGATTCAAATTGGTGTTTGAGAGAGGAAAATTAAAGGACAATTCAAACTATTAACAATGGTTCAAACTCTTGAGTTTTAGAATTCACCTCCCCCCTAAATTCTAGCAATCCAAATTGTTGTCAATAGTTCAATAGTTTTAAATTATACTTTTTCTCTCTCTTTAATTTCAATCTTAAAAATGTCATAACTTATTTGTTTTAATTCTGATTGAGATGATTTTTTTAATGTATTCATAATGAAGAGAGGAACAAATCTCATATTGCATATTATTTAATGTCGTTTACAATAAGATTTTATAAGATTTATTACAAAACTATAATGATAATTTTATACACTTTATCTAAATACAGTTAGGATTTATCCCCAATTCAAATTACAATTTATTTACATATCCAAATACCGATTCGAATCACAATTAAAATTACCATAATTTAAATTATACAGTTTCAACTAAAAAGGTTCAAATCTGCACAGTTTGAATTATTGAATCAAATAATTCCTTATAACATCCGCGTTCTCAGTTGTGATGGGTGCGTGAATTTGATAAGAGACGTGCAAACATGATGTCTAAATGGTCTCAAATTTTTAGTAGTTCTTTAATATGCTTATTCCTATCAACCAAAAGTTTTCTGAATAGTTTGTTCACATTTTCAGACTTGACTTTTCTGATTTGTTCTATTATAAATATGTGTTTGAACAATTTTTTAATATTTGGTTATTTGTCCTGTGATGCTGTGACTAGTTTGTTGTTTAAAGCACGAAATTGAAATAAGAAAGTAATAGATATTAGCATAAGCACATCCAATTTTTACAGGCACTTTACCAAAACACCACAAATTTTAAGTTTAGATTGACACATGCTAATAAATATAAACTATTATAAAAAATACTATAGTCAAAAATATTTAAAAATCATAAAATCTATAAAAATCACAAATTTATACATGAAAAATCACAAAACTCTTACAAAATTTAGAGATATTGAATAAAATGCACAAAAGTATAAAGTATGTTTTGCTTAGTACACAAAATTTAAATGATATCACTGTGTTATATTTTGTAATAATTTTAATACGCATGACAAAAATCAATCTAATCTTAAAAATCATGGCATTTTGCGTAAATATCTCAATTTTTAGATTTGGGAGTATGTCTTTTCTCTAGCTATAGGACTCGTTCATTTTACCGATTCGAGTTTTGCTACAGGAAAAAACTCACAAAAATAATCACATCTAACTTTTTTATTACAATAAAAAACTTTCACATAAAATCACAACTCGAATCAGCGAACTAAACAAGCTCTACATGAAAGAGACAGGCAGAAACTTTACTCATCGCATCATTAAAATAAAGTGTTTTAATATGTTATATTATAAGATAAGTATGCACTTATAAAATGTTAAAAGGCATTGGCATGAATAAACGTGCGCATGAGTTATATTTTAAAAATGAAAAAATATTTATTTAGGGATCAATAGATCCTCTCCATTGCGAGCAACCCTTCCCATCACCGACCCACCTTTGCAACCCACAAGAAATGAGAGATGATAAATCAGGAACAACGAACTCCCTTGTAACATCTCTACCAGAGAAAGCGAGGAGAAAGAGCACAAGGAAAGAAGCGAGAAGAAAGAGCAAAAGAAAAGAGGTGCAGAGCCAAACCTTTTTGTTTTTCATTTATAATTTAATTTTGATGTTTAAAAAAATGAAGGAACTTTTATTATAATAAGTTTTTTCTTAAAATACTTTCAAAATATTTGAAAAAAAAAACTTAAGTGTCGATGATATTACTAAACATTAATAAGATTCAATTAGTTTTAGAATACTCATAATTATTATAGATTTTACAAGCAAAAATAAGTGATATTCCTGAAAATTTTAACGAAAATTTCTTACTTAAACATAATAATGTATATTTTCTAAACATAATATCAGTCACCATTATTTTTTCATTAATATGAATTCCTGGCGATTGTTGCATGTGAAGACCTACAAAAAAAAAAATGACATGTATTTGTGTCATACATTTGAATTACTGTTCAATTTTTTTTCCCAACATTTTCTCTCAAACAAAAAATTTAAGTTTACGTTCAAACATTTCAGTCTATACCTATGAACTAAACCGATCGTTGGTAAATGCATTTATGAATGCACCATTCTGTTTTGAGTGAGATCCCGACGGCTTAAATCGCAAGTGTATTTAGCAACTCTCAAATCAAAGAGATTACGAACTATATGTAAGCGAAGAACATTAGAAATGGAACAAAAGGAATTTCATTCCAAATCATATGGGGGAACTCAAAGGTTTAGTAGCGGACATCAATGCCTTATTTGTTCATATCAATTGACACAAATACGACACCAAAACCAGAAACTCAAATCAGATTAGTACATCACCAAAACCTATTCTTCTAACAACCCCCAATCATCATAAACATTCTATTTTTTACCTCCTCCAACCGCATTGTTCCCTCCTCCAGCCTGCGCAGCCTTCCTTGCAGCCTTCTCTTGAAGTGCTTTTGCATCCCTAATGAAACGACCAAAAAAAAAAAAAAAACACATACACACACGTGTTAAAGACTAATAAAATAAGACCCAATCAAATAACTGGAATTTAGACCAAGGAGAGAATTGTGGTGAATCGCCATGTTTTCTAAGGGCCCGTTTTTTAAAATTCCGTTTAATTCGCTGATTCGAGTTTTTAATTCAAGTTGATATGTGATTTTATTTGATTTTATGTGAGAATTTTTTAATATAGTAAAAAAATTAGATGTGACTATTTCTGAGAACGTTTTAGTGTAATAAAACTCAAATTTTAAACTCGAATCGGTCAAATGAACGACACATAAAATTTACTTAAGTAATAGATGTTGATGCTTTTGATAACCATTAGGAAAATGACCTTTTTTTGAAAAAAAAAAAAGCTTTTTACTACATTATTATTAGTTTATCAACCTATAATTTGTTTGATGCGACAACTTAAATTTTTTTTAAAAACAGACATTAGTTTCATTTAACAAAACTAAAAATATCTATTAAAAATATACTTAAAAACTAGCTATTTTTGCACGTGTCTCTAATAATAATAATGGTTAAAAATAAAAATGTAAGACCTTTCTCGGCGTTGTTCGGGGGTTAATCCATCATTTTTGGAGTGCTTAGACTTATGACCAGCCCTGGCCTGGGCCCTTTCACGATCTCGCTCTCTCTGGTTACCGCGTTCGCTTCAGTTAAAGAAAAACAAACAAACACAGATATCACAAACACACCATATTCTTTTCCACCTCCCAAATCCTGATCTTTAACCCAAAGGGTTGTTTGGTTGCCGAGAAAATAAAATTGATAACCAAAGAAAGAGCTGATTCAGCATAAATAAAGAAGAATAACAGGATTTGGTAAACGACAGGTCAAAGGATATGAGTCATTATTGAACTGAATGTCGCAGAATCAGCCAAATAATACTCACAACGGAATTTAATTCCCTGTAACTCCAGGCAATTACACGAAACATCAATAAGCTGAAAAATACAAAAAGACCAAATCTTTTCGAACAAGAGACGAGGAAAAGAAAGAAACGACGGGAAAATTTTTACCTGATTGACGGTTTGAGTGCTTTTAGAGCTCCGCGATAAGGAGGAAGACGGATGGAAATTCGCTGTCGCTTGATGGATGGAGAGCAAGAGAAGACTTGAGAGTGCCTAAAAAGGAAGGTTGGTTCTCAATCAGTCGCTTTATGGAAGACTCCAGGAGCCGTGAAGATTGTCTCTCTCTTCTTATTTTATTGATTTACTTAATAAAATTTAGTGCTGTTAAACCTGAATGATACGCCACTATTTTCTCTTTTTCCTTTTGATCTGAATGATACGCCACTAATTTGGTTTTATGTTAATGATTTTTGGATGGTTGCCAGCTGGCAGATGCTGATCCCTCGATCTTTTTTATCTTTGCGTCTATTCACTATTGATTCAATCTCGACCGTCGAATGTTTCGATCTGATTTCAGAGTACTTTGGGCCGATGAGAGGAAATTAAGCCCGTGTTAAGTAAGGGCCATTAGATTGAAAGAATGCCTCTTGAAAAAAAATCCTGGGCCGAATTCAAAGTCCATTTTGAACCGGTAGGTGGCCCATATTGTAGAAGACACCATGATTAACGGGACGTTTACAGGAACACCAAAGTTCCTAGGATTGACTTATGCCGGAGGGAAAAAATATTGCACATAATACCCGGCCACGTCATCAATCGATATTTAAAATACTAATATCTCATTCATTTTACTGATTCGAGTTTAAAATTCAAGTTTTGCTACAGTAAATATAGTCACATCTAACTTTTTTACTACAGTAAAAAACTCTCACATAAAATCACATCGCAACTCGAATCAGCGAACTAAACGGGCCCAAATATATCTTGAAAATACTAATAGATATCACGGTGGATATCGTGGCATATGAGTATCTTGTTGAGAATATTGCACAATACCACAGCCACGTTATCGACCTATATTTAGAATATCAAATATATCTTGAAGATACTAGTAGGTATCACGGTGGATATCAGCCGCGATATGAGTATTTGATCGAGATACCGTTCGGTATTCGGTAACAATATCAGTATCCGGTCGAGATTCTGGTTAGTATCCGATATAATACTAGTATCCAATGGCGAAAAGCGAATGACAACTGCCGGTATTGATGCCAATCTAGACATCGAAATCGCCGTAATACTTAAAAAAACAAAATCACAAATGATACATAGAAAAACCCAAAAAAAAATTCAGTTCATAAATCTATACAGAAATTAAAAAAAGAGAGAGAAAATGTCCAGTCGTCAGGGGAGAGCTCTCCGGGCTTCTGCGCGGGCACTATGGGGTGAGCGGAGATCCATAGATCTCCCTGCGCATGTAGGAGATAGCGTGTGATATCGCATATCCAAAAGTTGGCATCATGATGTGATCATGTAATGGAGAATAAATTCGATCTTGTTGGTGAGGAATCTGCAACTGTATGATGCCAAGAATGAGGAGAGATATTCCTCGCGCAGAGGAGATCGTCAATGATCTCCTCCTTGCTACCTAAAAGAGTAAAGAGTATAAAAGAGTTTTGGTGAAAAATAATTTGTTATTGATTTATTGATTTACAAAGTGTATATATACACATATAACTACAAGATTAAGAATGGTAAGGATTGATACGGTCCTATAATTAGGAATATACAACTAGTATAAAATTACAAGATGATTGGTAGGAATTAAAGGAGAAGATTATGACAGCTGTTATTGCATATTAACTGAGGAAAATTTTTCCTTAATACTATCATTATGGCTGCGGAGCTACCTGCGTGCAGAGATCGCAATCGCAAGCGACTTTACAGAGGTAGGGGTTAATGACACAGAGATACAGAGGGAGATAGCGAAACCTAGTTGATTTCAAGGATATGTTAGTCCATTCAATATTTTTAAAAGGGCAACTTGACAGAAAAATGGAAGAGTTTATATGTCTTTTGCAAATGTCAATCCACTAGTAAAAATCGTGTCAGGTTACTTAGCGCTTGTTCAGTTACATTTTTGAGTTATGATAACTTGAGTGTAGATCTTGAGTTGAATTTAAGTTATAACTTGAGTTGAAGTTGTAACTTGAATTTGTGTTTGTTTGTGTACATTTGAGTTATGGTTTGAGATGAGAATCTTTTTGAGTTTGTATTTAGGTAAGTCAAAATTTGAGTTTGTATTTAGACAGTATATTAATAAAAACTCAATGATGATGAAAATTTTTAATAGGATATATGAGTGGAGTTTTATTTGTCTCATCGTTATGAACGCATAAAAAAAATCATCTCAATTGGAATTAAAACGAAAAAGTTATAGCATTTTTAAGAATATAAAAAATATTGTTCGTTAACTTGAGTTTCAGTTTAGGAACTTGAGTTGAAAGAGAAACTTGAATTCAGATTTTAACTCCAAACTCAAGTTAAAATTCAAGTTAAAACTTAAGTTCAAACTCAAATTTTAAAAAAGAACATGAACTTGAATAAAGTTGTAACTTGAGTTCAGTTTTTTTTTTTTTTTGAGTTTGGGTGCAAACAAATAAACCCTAAGCGCATGTTCGGTTGTATTTTTGAGTTATGTTAACTTGAGTGTAGATCTTGAGTTGAATTTGAGTTATAATTTGAGTTGAAGTTGTAACTTGAGTTTGTGTTTGGATGTGCACATTTAAGTTATGATTTGACTTGAGAATCTATTTGAGTTTATATTTGAGTGGGTTAAAACTTAAATTTGTTTTTAAATAATATTTTAATAAAAACTCAATGGTGATGAAAAATTTTAATAGGGTATATGAGTGGAGTTTTATTCATCTATTCATTGTGAACGCATAAAAAACAAATTATCTAAATCAGAATTAAAATAAAAAAATTATGATATTTGTAAGAATATAAAAAATACTATTCTAACTTGATGAAAAATATCTCATGATTTGCATTTGTATTTCTGTACTAGACACTTTGAGAGCAAAAAGTTCTAAAATGGAGCTGATTTTGTAGCACATGTTCCAAAAGTGGACTCCAGTTAAGAATCCTCTCCTACCTCATTTCCCCTTTCTTTTTATTTTTGAAAAAATGTAAAACCAAAATCCACAATGTTTTCTTTTTCCTATTTTGAGAACAATATAATAAGTATGAAAAAGTAACTTATTGATAAGACACAATTATGAATTGTGTTTTAACTTATGTGTTTCAATAGGTGAGTGTGTTTGTGCCCATTAAGATTTGACTTTTAATGATTTCATTTTTTTGAGTAAAATCAGGACAATAAGTCCACAAAAAAAAAGTACATATACTTTATATTAGTTAAAAAATAAAAACTTTTTCTAGTAGTTGTTAAAAAAATAAATTAACAGTAGTCTCTTACTTTTCAATAATTAGATATATATTAAAATTTATATATTATGTATAGTTTTTTAATTTTGTGTAATTTTAAATAAATTTAACAGTTAAAAATTGAAACTATTATTAGAAGGGACTACCAAATAAGCTCTCTAAAAAAATATTAAAACTTAACAAACTTTTCTAAAAAATTATTAAAACTTAACAAACTTTTCTCATGGCTTCATTTTTTTGAGTAAAATAAGGACCATAAGCCTCACAAAAAAAAAAAAAGTACACATACTTTATATTAGTTAAAAATAGGGACTTTTTTTAATAGTTATTGAAAAAATAAATTAGTGATAGTCTTTTATTTTTTAGTCATTAAATTTGTATTAAAATTAATATATTTTTTATAATTTTTTAATTTAATATGATTTTAAACGGTTAAAAATTGATATTACTATTAAAACGGATTAGGAGATAAACTCTTTAAAAAATATTAAAACTTAACGAAACAATAATGTGATGTGTATATATATATATAATATATATATATATTATTATTTTTTTTGAAAAAAACCAAGATTGGCACGTTGAAATTGGACAGAACAACTGGCCAGCGTGGTCAAATTACAATAATGAAACTGTTAGCAATCAATGAACGCACTTTCGCTTTTCTTAGGCTCATTATCACTTATCATTAAAGCAATGCAGTGTCAATTTTAGGCCAAGGCATTCATATTTTTCTTAGTTTCCTATATATTTTAGGTTTCAAGCTCATTAGATCCCCGGATTTTTATATTAGAAAAAAATTTCCTAAACTCTTGAAATTGTAGCAAAATAATCAAAATGAAAACACACGCACATCGGCACATGCACATATATCACTGTTCCGAAGTGATTAAGGACAGTCACAACAATGTCTCCATAACAAAAACTTAAATAAAATGTAGAATAACAACAACAAAAAAAGCTTTAAAAAGTTTGTGTTCTACTCTACACACCGTTTGGGGGAGCTACATGGGGGAGACTCGCCTCTAGGAGTCTCACCGCGAGGAGGGAGTTCACGATGGAGGCGGAAACTAGTGACATGGTTGGGTTCGCATGGAGGAGGAAGTTTGCGACGGAGGGGTCTCACAATGTGGGGTAGGTTCGCGATGAGAGGGTTGGTCTCGCGACCGAAGGAGGGGCGGTCGATGGCGGTCTCACGATGAGTGGTTAGACTTGTGATGACGATTACACAACAAAAGAGGCTAGAGGATAGACTCACAAAAGGATGACGAGGGTTGGGTTGGGCTCATGATGGGAGGTTGTACTAGTAATTCGGTAAGAGGGGTCGAAATGTGCGAGTGATCATATATCTATGGTTTTTAGGAGGTGAAGAATGAAAAAACAACAAATATTGGGTTTTTTTATCCATCCTTTTGTTTGGATCCTTTTAGCAAATTCGTCCAAAAATTGACACATCACGGGAGGCACATGCAGTTTCCCGTCCAGATTTTAAGGTTGCAACCATTTTAAGAGTGAGGTGCTTTTACAGATTAAATTATCATCTACTAAAAGGTCAGAAGAACAAATGAGCTAAAACCCTTATATTTTTCTCAAAATATTGTGAAGATGCAGAGTTGACGATGAACTTTGATGTTTGGCTTTACATCATCTGTAAGATTATTTTATTTGTGTTTAAAAAAATATTTAATGTACTAAAAAAATATATTTAGTACACATGTTGATAGTAGTGACCAGTTAAAAAAATGGTGGCACGCATGTGAAGTCATCTATATTGGATAGTAAACCAACTAATACCAACAACAACAAAAAAAATATTCCTTGATTTCATTAAAAAAATAACATATAAAATTTTTTGTATAGATACACCATTAATTAAATTTTAGAACTTCAGTGGCTTATGGGCTTTCTTATGTCGGAGTCCAATTATTGATTCAACTACCCAACTTCCAAAATGACTTCCAATCTGTATATGGTGACATATTCTGCAGTAGGTCATTCCCCAAATGGTCATAAAAGCCAAAACAATGGTGTAATCTCTGTTAATTTGTCTTTGGAATTGCCTCCTCGGTTTGGCACCAAACAAAAATTCAGTTCAGCGACAAATTAGAATTCTAAGATACTAGTGCAAAACATGCAGTTCAGCGACAAATTAGAATTCTAGGATAAATGTGCTGCTGGGAAAGATAAGTACACAGTTTACACGAGGCATTATTACTATTATCCTATAAGGATATAACAAATATTCAATATTTTATTTCCTAATATATAGTAAAGTCTTAAGTTCAGGTAGAGTTTAAGTTCGGCATTGTACAATATGATAAATGTAATTCTTTTCAATTATTTGTGTATAACATTTAATTTATTTAAGTGTAATACTCAAAGTTATATATTTTAGACCACATTTTTTAAATATTACACTTTAATAAGTTGAGTGTTACACACATAAATTAACGATGTTAAATGAGAATACGGAAAAGTTATATTTATTGTATTAGTTCGGATGCCACACTTAATACATTTCCTTAATCAATATATACACATATAATGAGAGCGATTGAAAAAATCAATTCAAATTTTGTATATAAACGATTATAAAAATCAAAACCTTATGTGTCATCCAAAAGAGTTTTCTAAAACGTGGACCCAAAACAAAAGTAAAAGAGAGGATGGAAACTAATACTTTGTATTTGTTCGTTTCACGGATTTGAGTTTTCAATTCGAGTTGAGATGTGATATTTTTTGAGAGCTTTTAACTGTAGTAGAAAAAGTTAAAGGTGACATTTTCTGAGAGTTTTTAACTGTAAAAATCTAAAATTAAAAATTTAAATCGGTAAAATGAACGAAACCACTATTTATTTTACTGATTCAAATTTTATTATAATAAAAAATTCTTAAAAATAATTATATATAATTTTTTTATTATATTTTTGTTTTCCCCAAGAGACTCGCTCAATCCACTGCCTCCAAACCTTCCTTTATTTTCCTTTCATGATCTTTCTCTCTCTCTCTCTCCCCGAACACCCCAAAAAGCCAAAAAAGAAAGAGAAGCTCCAGCACACGCAGATTTTGACAGACAAAAATAAAACACATAACGATACAAAAAGAGAGATCCATCTAAAGAAAAGAAAAGAAAAGAAAAGAGGCTCAAAAACAAGGAAAAAAAAAAGTAAAAAAAAACGACAATAGAGAGGACCCATTTATGGAGTTAGACACTCTCTTACCTTTTGGTGCGTGGCTGTGCATCATGTCTCTCTTATCTCCTTTGTTGACTCTTCTTTTTCTTTTCTTTTCTTTTATTTTCTTTTTTGTTTTAAAATTTGTTCTTCTTCTACGATGATAACAAATGTTGTTCCGACAGAGTATGCTGCTTTGTCTTTCTCACAGTGAAATTCACCTTTGCAGATAATAATTGAAGGGGCTGCGCAGATACAAATATATATATATATATATATATTTATATCACATCCGAAGCTTACCACAAACCAACTGCCACAGGAGGTAAGGTATCCAATGCTTTTTCTTCTTTTTGTTTTTTTGTTTCTTATTTTTAAGAAATAAAATATGACGTTTCGTCGATATTCGATTTTGACACACTTTTCTTTTGGTTGGAAGCTCGGGCAATTTTGGCGGATCCGATTTTTTACAGAGCGTAAATGGAAAATTGAAATGTCATTTTTTTTTTCCCCTTGTCCGGTTGTCCCTTAAAAGTTAAAACCATATTTTCATTCATTATACATTTATTATATGCCCAACTGCCAAGTAGCCATTTGTAAACGAAGTGATCAAAAGCAAAAGCTCTCAATTTTTTTCTCTATAATATAATTTGGATCGAAGCCATCGCTTCTCTCTCAAACGTTTTCCGAGAAATCTCAAAAGCGCGGAAACCAAGCAGAGATGTTTCCGATCCCTTGAATTCCTATGACTTCCTAGGAAATTTGGATGCTTCTTCTTCACATTCCACATTTCTTTTTTTCCTCATTCTTGATTCCAATTCCTCGGGAAAAGTTTCAAACTTTCAGCTCCAATATTTTTTTTTAATTTTTTCTTAATTTTTTTTTTATATTATTATGCATGTTTATATATGATTCCGTGACTGAGGAAGAGATTTGGAGATGGAAGGTGGAGGAGGTGGGGCTAGGGCAGGGTCTGGTCGCAGGATCACACTTCTCGATCAGATGTCAGCCATCGCCGACGGCGGAGATTTATCCGGCTTGACTCTCGACGACATCTTGCGCTCTCGGAAGCGAGCCGTTCCGGAGCCGCCGCCACCGCCGCCGTTTCCGTCAGAGCCTCCGATTCAGCCCGGTCGAACGCTGTTGGATATCATCAGAGACGAAGATCCCAAGGCCAGTTCTTGTAAAGAATTCGTCGGCAACAGAGACAGGAAGTCCTGGAAATCCTTCAAAGACCGGCTCCGACTCAAGCGCACCGGTTCCGGCGCCGCCTGGACGTCCTCCGTCCACATTCCGACCTCCGATATCCTCTCCCCGAGCACCCGATCCCAGGTCTCGCGCCGCAGCTCAGCTCGGAACTCAACCGAGTCGGCTCATGAGATGATTCCCCTAGAAGACGCGTCGTCGCAGGGATTCCGGCCGCATATTTCTCTCTCACGCCGGAGCTCGTGTCGTTTCAGCCCCAACGCGTTGTTCGCGTCCGATCCGGCTCTAAGCGACGACGGTTCTAACAACAACAACAACAACAACAGCGGCGCTCCTCCCGCTCAGGTCCCGACTCTCAGGCCGCAAATTTCGCGCCGCCACTCCACGCGCTTCTCACCGGTTATAGAAGACAGCGTGACGGATCCGACGGAGCCGCCGCCGCCGATGCGCGAGGGCTCGCGCCGGCTTTACGCGGTGCTGGCGGAGGAAAGGTCGCTGTCGGCGAGGGAAGCCGTGGCGGCGCAGGAGGCGGCTGAGGAGGCCGCTGCCGCCGCCGCAGCAGCAGCCGACGAGGCCGTATCGACGGCGGAGGCTGCAGCGACTCCGGTGGCGGAGACTGGGCCGCAGCCCGTGAGAATGTCGCTGATGGATCTGTTGGAGGAGACGGACAGGCAGATGGGGTTTGTGGGGTCCAGATACATGATCGGAGACGAGGACGACGAGGATTACGAGGAGGAAGAAGAGGAGGAGGAGGACGGCGGCGGCGGCGGCGGCGGTGGCGTTGGGGGAGTTGAGCAGAATTGCTGCGTGTGCATGGTGAGGCATAAAGGCGCGGCATTTATCCCGTGCGGGCACACTTTCTGCAGGCTCTGTTCCAGGGAGCTCTGGGTTAGTAGAGGGAATTGCCCTCTGTGTAATGGTTTCATTTTGGAAATTCTTGACATCTTCTGAACATGTTCATGATACAAATTATTTGTGTTGTGCGCACAAATCTCCTCTCCATTATTATTATTATTTTTCCTGGGTCAGATTTGTTCGAAACATTTTTGTACTTTTTTGGGTTTTTTTTATTTTTTTTTATGGATTGGAATTTGAGCTGGAATTAGAGTGTATAATATTGTACCGGTCAAATTTCAACGTAAATTTCTCAATGTACTTCATTACTAGTTTCAGAGATCAATGCCAAGTTTTATCTTTTAGCATTTGAGTTCCTTTCATGAATTGATGGTGCATTTGAGAGCTGAGAGAGCATCTTGTAAGTTGTGTAAACGTTGAAAGCCTTCAAATAGGTCATACATTCTATTGCGAAACCTTTACCATGCAGTTTGGTCCAATATGTGTGTATATAACAAGGGTATACTAATGATAAAGCTCACAAGGTTCACTCCTTGTTCCGGACAGAGTATTGTATAGTATTGATAAATACTGTAACGAGTTATAAATTATGATTTAAATTATGACACGAATCTTTACTCTAAATGCACCCGTAAAATATGTATGTGTATATATGTGTGTATATAACAAGGGTATACTAATGATAAAGCTCACAAGGTTCACTTCATGTTCAGGACAGAGTATTGCATAGCGTTGGTATTTGCTTAAATAAGTGCGCGCATTTTATTATTATCATATAACAAGTACCAAGTCAGTCGCTGCAAAACGTAATAAAACCTAATTCGTCCATTTTTGGGACCACATTACATTTACTTGTATGAGTCGGTTTTTATTTTTTTAATCAAGAAAGCAACCAACCAACGAAGATGCTCCTCACAAAGCCTTACAGCTTATCCGTTATGATGACTTTGTCTCTTATTATTATTAAAGGAGAAACACCTAACGAGGGTGTAAAATCAGAGTCTGATGAACCGCTGTGAACAAAAACCAGAGCTCTTCTGTTTCTTTTAAGATAAAAATCAGATAAAGCAAATTATCAAAGAAAAAAAAAAAACAGATAAAGCAACCGTTGCAGTCATAATTCAGAAACTTCCCACGTCAGTTTTGGATAGTGAACGTTTATTATGTTCGTATTGATTTTGAATTATGATTCATGATTTTTTATAGTATTTTTTTTATAAAAAATACACGTAAAATAAAAATAATTTTAAATTATAATTATAAATACAAAAACTAAACGTCCTCACATTTTAAAATCAGATGGGTATATAGAACTAGGCTAAGCCTCAATTTTAGTTTTTTAATAATTTAATTTTGAGGTCAAAATGATATTTGCATAACAAAAAAAAAGTGCTTTTTTCATGATCCGCATTACTCATAGTTTTAATTTTTAATTATTAAATTTGATTAAAATCACATCAAATTAATAAAATATACATAATATATAAGATTTGATATAAATTTAACGATTGAAAAATAAGAGACTAATGGTAGTTCATTTTACATGGACTATTAAAGAAAGTCTTAAAAAAAGGACCTTATCTGGTACGCCAACATACCAACAGGTTAAGTTTTCTAATCGTTGGATATGCATAAAATCACGTAAAAGTTAAAAAGTACGCAGATCTGACAGTTAAAAAAACCTAACTTACCGGCATACCAACACACCATAAAATCTAAAAAAAAAAGAGAAATAAACTACCCAATACATTTGTTAAATCCACTCAACCTCAATAAAGTAAATGGAGATTTTTTGATATGCTTAGTGTACTGGTAGATTATGTGTTTTTAACAGTTAAATTTACATATTTTTTGACTTTTACGTGATTTTATGTAGATCTGACGGATAAAATACTTGGTCTACCGGTATGTTGACATATCAGAGAAAGTCCCTAAAGTAAAATCCTTTTTTGTTTGGGAGATTCTCTGTTACGCCTGGCGTACCGGTAGACTAAATTTTTTAAACCGTTACATCTGCGTAATTTTTGACTTTCTTGTAATTTTATGCAGATTTAACGGACAAAAAAAATTAACCTACTAATATATTGTCGGACCAAATAATGTCCCTTTTTGTTTAGAGCTTGAAAGTTGCATACTGTAAGTCAAAATAAGACTTAAACTACAGTACGATCAATGATACAACTATTTGTTGGACCAAGCATTGCTATTTTGCAGTCAGAAAGAACTTGTTTCTATTTGCCTAGTTAAATGAATGCATATATTGATACAAATAGAGAGAGCTAAATAGAACTGACTCAACATTATAAACACCTGAGTTTGAACAATACCCTGCTCCTACAAACGGTAGTATTTCACAGCTGAAAACAGCTAAAATGTACTTTTATCACGGTTACAAATATAAACAAGTGATCGTGAACAACTCTCTTCAAGTAGAATTTGGTGTGTTCCGTATACTTCTTTATCCATCTTTAACCAACCATCAGAATATCCTTGTATCTATCATCATTTCCACATGGGTTAAGCAAATTTGTCAGAAATCGGTCGTAATCTTTTAATTGATAAAATGACGAAGTGAATTGCACTGGTTTCGGTCTTCAGATTAAATGTCTGCAAACAAATGGTTAGTTGCCTTCTTCTGGTGGCCAGGGCAAACATGAGGTTGCCTCACAATGTAAATTTCATCTCCCTCTTTTTTTTGACTGTCCTGATTGCGGTACCACGTCCACAGAGCATACGTCTCATTCTTCACCTGCAAGTTAAGCACATTAACTCCATGGCCGCTGGTAGTTCCGAGTATTAATTTTTTACCTGTACTTGTTTATTGATTTCTCTATATGCTTCAGAGTTAAGAAGCACTGCCCAGTAAGTTCACACTAATTATCCATAAAAACATTATACCCTCAAAAAGCCTTATTCTTCAATCAAGCTCATTCAGAAATACTAAATACATGGGGAAAATAACTTTGCAATTAAAGCCACAGAAGAATAGTGAATCTACCTCAAGGATGCCGTGGCCAAAGCTGCTTTCTCTGAATGCACTGTAATCAGGTTGCCGGTCCCAACAGAACTTTCCTGCTGCTGGTCCAGATGTAAAGTTTGTTGCACAAAAGCCACCCATGTATAAATCAGGTGTTGTCAATGGCTCTGGGCAATTACCGAGTTCATCAGCATATTCCGTTGCCATCTTCTCTCGGTTACCCCCATCCCCGACTGTGATATATATAGGACCACATGGATCTAATGTATAGTTATAGACACGATTTGACCGCTCATAAGCATGGACCTGAAAACTTATTTATTTAGTCAATAGAACAAAATCCATTCAGAAGCAAAAGATATAGATTACGACTTGTGTCTCCTTTTCCCCCCAGCAAAAATTAATGATAAAAAGGAGAAACATGCAGGGGATCGAGGGAAAATGGGAAGAAAATATGATCACCCTTGCTCGAGTCTACCATCCCTAATTTATTTCTTAACCTCTAAGATGAGTATATTTTCACGTCCCTTAAATAGTAAAATATAAACTTTTCAAGCTATTCATTTGTTACCTTAAAATTCATTAATATATAAGAAATACCTTTCAATATTGTAGTCATGATATTAAAGTTCTAACTACTTACATGTCCATTGAATACTATGTCAACGCCATAGGAATAAAGTAGTTCTTCCATTTCCACTCTCATGCACTCGGCCTCTCTATAATGGGCTTTGTAGGTAGAGTACCAGGGTGGGTGCCAAACAGCTACCAGCCATGGAGTTGTGGATCGGTCCATATTAGCCAAATCTTGCTCCAGCCACTTGTACTGGTCCGCTGCAAGGAATCAGTAAAATGATAAATCACACCTTTAAGAATCGGCTCAAACCAGAACAAGGAAATGTGCATTAATTTACAGTATTTAATTCAAACTGCAGAATGATCATGTGTATCTACTTCTAAATTTGGATAAAAAATACAGACTTCCAATTCTATTTGATAAAGCATTGAGAATTTAACGGATCAATGTTTGAATTCATAGACATTTCTTTGCATCTGGATGAAAGAGGTCGGATACCACATATTTTAATTTAATTGAGCATTTAGATGCATTACACATCTTTGGGTAATGTGTAACAGGTATGCAGGGAAGAAAAGAATAAATGGAAAAAGGGGGCCACAGTTACCTGATTTGTCATAGGCGATGTAAGCCCCAAGCATAACAAAATGAATCCCACCTGCATTAAAGGAGTAGTAGAACGTGGAGGAAGATCCACTTTCTTCAGATGGGAATGCGAACCGAGAACTGTAAGCCACAAAAGTTTGGTTCTGAGCCTGTTCTTCTATTTCGTGGTTACCTTCTATCACCATTATAGGAACTTTAGAAACTAAATTCTGCATAAACCTGTAAAGCAATACCATGGTTACACAAGGAAAGATGATTTTGATGCCTAATAGGCATACGTTCAGGAAGCGATGAAACAAAACTGATGGGAAACACATTTCTTACCTTCCCCAGTAATCCCAACGAGGTTGATACGTCTCATGTATCGGAGTTTGAGAGAACGAGCAAGAATAACAGTCAGAGCCCGTTCCGTTTGTAAGATACAGATTTGCATAAGTTACATCACCAACCAAAAGAACAAGATTGGGTTTATTCGTAATCAAGTGATCAATGGTAGTAGTCGTATTGTAAGTAAGACCAAGATCTCCCACGACTGCTATCCTGTTAGGGTAACTCCGAGGACCCGAAACCGGCATTGTCTCCAAATAATATACATCACTCATGGCATGTATAGAGGGATCTCCACATCGATAATAGTACCGTGTACTTGGTTTCAACCCTACGCAATACCAATTTATACTAAGAAAAAAATTCAACCCTCTTGTTCTTTTGCCTTCAATTTTGAACCTTTATAGTATTAAAATGAAAAAAAAAAAAAAAAAAAAAAAAAAAAAAAGAAGAAGAAGAAAACCTGTTAGGCGAACATGATGGATGATCCCAGAAGTGTAATTTTGCAAGCCTTCAAAAGGATAAAGCTGATTGTAGACAAGAGAATAGCCTTGTGCTTCATGCATTAATGGATGTTTAAGCATCCCATAGCGAACAATACTAGAGACACTTCTAGGCTCTAACGGCTTTATGTTGCAACCAATTTGGGATTCTCCTGAAAACTCAAAAAAATTAAACTCACTCAAAATCTCAATTGAAGTAAGATTCCACTGTTCTAATTCATTTCCTGACGATATTCTTTGCGACCAAACAAAATCATAAAACAATCAAATTATACTATCATTCGATTAAAACTTAATCTGTGACACTAATCAGTGAAATTATCCAAACAAGACCAAATCAAGAGTTGAAAAGGCCAAAAACCTGTAATCCAGGAAATCCAAACGGAATCGTAATTGGCGGAGAGAGAGACGGAAATCTGCTCAGGCTCGAAACCATTGACGCGGCGACGAACCCTAGGGTCGGAGTCGGGCAAATCGACGGCGTTGCCGCGCAAACTGGGGTCGCAAGGGGCGGTGACGGGCTCGAACGGGCCGTCCAAGGTGGTGGGAATTCGAGCCCGGACGGGCCCGAAATGGCCGAACAGAGCCAAGCATGCAAGCACAGCGAGAGCAGAGCACCGCCAGCCAAACGCCATGCTTAGGAGTTACGAATCTGATTTTCCATAGGAGCAATGAGAGTGCAATTTGAGGAATGTCCCGAAGAAGGAAAGGTATATTCTAAAGACTTTTTTTTTTTGGGTTATTTTTTTGGATAAATTTTTAGCATAAACATGACGCAGTCACAGACCCACAGTTTGTGTGCGCGGATTGTCTGAGGCGGTTAGTAGCCGTTGGCGCCGGTTCTGTATGTGCAGTTCTTTTTTTTTAGAATATTCTCACCTTTCCTAACCAAATATTCTTTTACTTTCGTCATTACGCGTTGCTTAAAAAAACAAAAAAAACAAAAATAAATTTTTTAGCATTGTTCACACACCCACGGAACACTATTCAAAGTACAATGAATTTTTTTTCCCGGTTTGCCCTCGCTCTTTCTATTCTTATGCTTTTTCTATATGTGGGCGTTTTTGTCTTTTAACATAATGTATTGTGAATGTGCGTTTGTGCCCTTTCCTTCTGATTGTTTTATTTACCCTTAGTTTTGGGCTTTTGGTCATTTTGCTTCTCATGAAACCCTATCCTCCATCTCCTTCGATGGGTTCTCTCTGGTTGCCTCCTCCATTTTTTTTCCTCCGCCAAAAATTTTGCCCCCATTTTGGCCATTTTTGCTTCTCATGAAACCCTATTTTTCATCTCTTTCTTCGGCTGCTTCTTCTATTTTTTCCTCCATGAAAAATTTGCCCTCCATTTTTTGCTTTTTCATTTGTCTCATTCTTTACTTGATGTTGGTTTTTCAGATGTTTTTTATGCAGGCCTTCTTTTTTTGCCTTCGATCACTCTCTACTGTTTCTATTAGAGATTTTGTTCAGCATTTGTTGTGTGGTTTTTGTGTAGTATTTTTTCCTTTTTTTTTTCTTCTTCCTCTTCAATTAACTGTCGATTTTTTATTTTTATTTTTGATTGTCTTTTATTGATTCTATATTGTTTAGACGTTTCTATATACTTTCTCTGTTTTCTTGCTGGAGTAAATATTTTGGGTTGCATGCAAATTTTTTTTTTATTGTTGATTCTCTGTTGTTGCTCTTCTGTTTTTAGATTCGGTCTTTTCTATGAACTTTCTTTGTCTCCTTGCCGAACTAAATATTTTGGGTTCCATGCATTTTTTTTATAAAAAACATTTATGTTACGTTTGGTTGGAAGATTTAAACCATGTGATTCGAACTATTTTTTATTTACGTAAATTTTTTATGAGAGAAAATACTGTAGCGAACCATGAATCATGATTCGAATCAGGAAACGAATTCCTCTACTAAACATTCTTTTAGTGATATTTTGTTAACTGCTTAAAATTTATTGTCATTTCTTATTTTCGAATTTTTTCTTTCTACTGATGACTATTGGATTTTGCTCGAGCGGCTTGTTTGTTCCAACAGCTTATTTGTTTGCGCAGAAAGTGGTTACATATATATTTTTGGATCTTTTCCGTGGCTGATTTCTATAGGTAAATAATGCATTTTTCTCCGTACAGATTTTTTTATTTGCTGATTTTGTTCCTGGCGTTTACCTAAATCAATCTCCTTTGCATTTACTTATTTGCTGACGTGTAGTGATGATTTGTGATCTGTACTTCTAGGATGATGATCTGTATCCATTTGTTCTAGGATTATTAGGTTCGTTTAGTTAGAGAATTTAAATCATGTGATTTGAATTATTTTTTATTTACGTGTATTTTTTATGAGAAAAAATATTGTAACGAATCACGAATTATGATTCGAATCAGGGAACGAATCCTTCTACTAAACGTCCCCTAAAAGAATGTTTAATGGGAGAATTCAAATCATAATTTGAATTATAATTTATAATTTATTATAATATTTTTTTTCATAAAAAATACACATAAATTAAAAATAATTTTAATTCTATAATTTTAATTCATGAACCAAACATCTCTTAAAATAAATTAGAGATGTTTTCCTCCTTTTATGGTTCGGAGTATATGCATAGAATTGTTAAAAAAAAAGCCTGTGTTTTTTCTTCTTTTTTGAATTTTTTCCCTCTTCTTCTTCTAAACTGACTACTGTTTTGGATTTTTTTTTCTTTTCCTTTTCTTGACTATTGCTTTGGATTTTTTTTTTCTTTTCCTTTTTCTTTTGTGATTCTGATCCTATACTATTTTTATCATTTATTTTAATGAAAAATGTTCCCCTTTTTTTTACACCGAATTTCAATTATTACATGTGGTATTGTCATTGGTTAGCTTGCTCTTTATATATAGGAAATGCTGTTGCTACGTATTAATTGGTTCTGTAAATTGTGTCCTTTTCTTCTTCTTATGCCTCACATCTTTCGTTTTCTCCCCTATTATTGATTATTTACTATTGTGTTTTGTCTTGGCCTATTTTACTGCTACATCTTTTTACCCGTGTCTCTTTGCCTTCTATTTGGTTGATTGAGATTCAGTGCTCACAATATTTCAGGTACTACTATTAATTTTTATCCAGATTCTTTTAATGTTCATTATTGATACTATATAATTTTTGTCCAGATTCTTTTAATGTTCATTATTGATACTATATAATTTTTGTCCAGATTCTTTTAATGTTCATTATCCGTTTGTTTCGTTACTATTATTTTGTGTTATTTCTTACACTACTAACAAAAATAAACTCTTTTTCACTGTCAATAAATTTCAGTGATCCACAATTATTTTTTTTGTGGTGTTTATTTGTTTTATAGTAATATATAGATAATTCCGTATTTTTAGTTAGTATGTTTTATCTTTAATTAGTTTTATGACATGTTTACTTATCAGGAGTAGGGAATGAGAATTGATATTCGGAATCAACTCTATGTTTACTTATCCATTTATATCTTGGAATGAGAGTGAAAATGTGTGGGTCCCACACCAATTTAGAATTAAGGAATGAGATTGGCACTCCCCCCACCCCCACTGGATTGCCACTCTCATTCCTGATATTAAATACAAAATTACGAATTTATCCTTAACTTTTCTCCTTTATTTAACTCTCTAGGGTTTATTTTCCTCTTTCTCTCTCAGTCATTTACCATCTCCTCTTTTCCTCTTCTGCCGGTTCTTCAATTTGCAGGTAGGACATAAATCATCTTTTATTTTTGTTTTCGGTTTGCTTTTTTTTTTTTTTTTTTTGGTTGAACATGTTGATAATGATTTAAAAGCACAGGGTGAACATGTTAAGAACAGGGTGATTAGTTTCAATTTTAAGAGATCTGGAAGAACGATTAGTAAATGTTTCCACAGAGTGTTTAAAAGCAATTATTCGGTGTCAAAAAGAATTTTGGAAAAACCCAGAACCAGTTTTGGAGAACTCAACTGACCCTAAATGAAAGTGGTTTAAGGTATGCGTTCTCTTTTTTTATTATTTTGAAAAAATTTGTTTTAAATTATATTTGTGTTCTTAAAATTTTATGCTTCTTTTTCATAATAATGTAGAATTGTTTGGGAGCATTGGATGGAACGTATGTAAGAGTTCGTGTGCCAGAGGCAGACAAATCAAGATATAGAACAAGAAAAAATGAGATTGCTACTAATGTCTTAGGAGTTTGTTTACAAGACATGCAATTTATATATGTCCTACCGGGATGGGAAGGTTCAACGCACGATATGCGTGTGTTAAGGGACGCAGTGACTAGAAGAAATGGTTTAAAGGTTCCTCACGGTAATTTTATACAACAACACTAAATGTTTTTTAATGACATTATATTGTTTGCATATTATCTATTTGTTCATTGTTTAATATTGTTACTTTTTATATTGGTTGATAGGTTATTACTACTTGGTAGATGGTGGTTATAGTAATGGGACCAGTTTTCTTGCACCATTTAGAGGATGACGTTACCATTTAAGTGAGTTTAACAATAGAAACCAACCAACTTCGGCGGAAGAGTTTCAACATGAAGCACTTGAGTGCTAGGAATGTTATTGAGCGATGCTTTGGATTATTGAAAATGCGATGGGTTATACTAAGAAGTCATTGCTTTTATGACATAAAAATACAGCAATAAATAATTTTTGTATGTTGTATGTTACATAACTTTATTCGAAGAGAAATGGCTTATAACCCTATGGACATTGTGTACGATAATGATCCAGCACAACAATTGAACAATGAGACGGAGTTTATCGATTCCATTGAAACATCTACCGAGTGTACTACATGGAGACAAAATTTGGCACAAGAGATGTGGACTGAATGGCGAGCAAGTAGAGAATAGGATTAAGGATTGACTTGTTTGACTATATTTTTTTATCATATTTTTTGATTTATGACTTGGAACTTCTTTTTGAAAATTTATGAGTTAAAACCTTAGTTATTTTGTTCTTATTTTATTTCATCATCATATTCTTTTCTTGAAATTGAGTTAAAATTTATTGAGAAAAATAACTTAGATGAATAATTTGGTGAGATTAAAAAAATCTAATTACTAGTTAATTATTCTAATATTAAGATAGTTAGCATAATATACAATTTTTTTTAAAAGTTTAACGCACAAAAATCTACTAAAAGGGTAGGTAAGTAAATTTATAACAGTTTATTCTGATTCTGAGTGTAAGTAAACGCATGAATAGGATTGGGATTGATTCCGATTTCAATTCCTGGAACCTAAGTAAACAGCTTATTTTGACTCCGATTTCTGACTCTGATTCCTGCTCACTCCGATTGATGTCCACTCCGATTACAAATAAGTAAACATGTCCTTAGTGTATGCCAATGATTATTACAACTGGTTTTTACTGTTCAGTGTCATGTTATTTATTCAGATGTTGCTATGGATATATTTGTGGTTATTTATATTCTGATTTTGGACTATGATTTTGCCTGTATTTTTTACCTAATAATTGTCTAGATATTTTCTTTTTTTTTACTCCTCCTTTCCTTTCTTCTTTACTTACTCTTAACATTTTTGGCTTTCTGGTTACCTGGCTTCATCTTGGCTTATTTAGTGCTTAGTAAGCTATGTCTTTTTCAGCTGTGTTTGGTTGACTTACACTCTATATTTGAGGCACTGTTCTTACCATTGCAGGTACTGTAAATAATTTTTAACTTTATCTTCGTAACATTTGTTATTGATATTGGATATATTAGTTTTTCGTGTTGCTGTTACTTTTTGTTGATTTTTATAGTGCTGATAAAAATCTTTCTTTGTTGTTATGACTATATCACTTTTTCCATTTTGTTAGTCGATAATGATGGCACATTAATTTCTTATTCATTTGTTTTATAACTACACATATATATGTAATTACTTCCGTTTAGCATATTTTATCTTTACTTGGGTTTAGTGTGTGGCAATTATGGTTATAATCCATTTTGGTTTCTTGAATTCTATACAATCTGTCCAAAAATTGCTGTGAATTAACCTTCCTTATCCGGACTTCACATTTACCTATCATTTTTGACTGAAACAATTTAAATTTCCTTTTTTTTCCATATTTGTTATATGGCAATAATGATCATATTCGGCTTTGGCTTTTTCAATCTCATCTAATTTGTTAAAAAATTATTGTTAATCAACTCCCCTTATCTGGAATTTGATTTCGTCTATTGTTTTGGCTAAAACAATTTAAATACCTCTATTTTATTCTTTTGGTATTCTTTAATTTAAGGACAGCATTTTAGATACGTGTTTAACTTGAATTTAGAGTTCATCGCATTTTAAATACTTTTTAATTCACCTAGTAGTTCTTAGACAGATTTATATTTTGCTGCAGCCTTTTATTTTGTATGAAGAAAAAGTCATAATCTGTATGGCAAATATAAGATATGATTAATTTTTATGCCTTTATACAGTTGCCATTAATTGGTAGTCATAGAATGGTCATTTTTTTTGCACCTTTATGCAGTTGCCATTAAAATAGTCATAGAAATACAAATAAGTTGATTTATCATACATTGTTGATAACAATGGATATGTGAGCCACAATTAGTCTATAAAAACATTACAAAACTCATAATTTATACGCTTCCTCATATTCAATGTAAATAGTTCTTCCTTTTTTCTGAAGTTTAAATAATCAACTTCTATCATGGAAAATTTTCCCTCCACCTGTTTATAAATGAAGCAAGCAGAAGACAGACCAACGTAACCATAAATTTATTACTTTATCTTTTATTTGTTTATAGGTTTAATTCATATACCATTCTTATCTTATTTATTTGTTTTGTAAATGTTCACATCTAATATTGTAAATTATAAATTTATAAACATTACTACTTTCATGTCACTCTCCTGTATAATATAAAATTTTTGCCCGCCGGAATGCGCGGCGGGCATATAGCTAGTATTCCTACCAAAAGAAATGATTATATATTGAAATAAAATAACAAATATAAGGAATATATTATTTGTAAAAAAAATTGTAAGTAAAATTGTAAGTACTATTTTGATATATATTTTTAAGAAGTAAATACATAAAGAAATTGAGTGATGTCATTTATTTTTATAATCATTATTATTATTTAATGGGCAATAAATTAGAATTGTCTAATTGCATAACATTATAAATAGGTATCGTTCATTTTACCGACTCGAGTTTTCAGTTTTAAGTTTTTATAGTAAAGTTCTCAAAAAATGTCACATCAACTTTTTCTACTACAGTAAAAAACACTCAAAAAATGTCACATCTCAGCTTGATTTAAAAACTCGAATCCGCGAAGTGAATGAGGCCTATATTTTCCGATTAAAAATTTTAAAATCTGTGCATCAAATTCCAATTTAGCTCCAAGTCTCACGCTGAATATTATGGTGTATGGACGTCCCCATATGCCATTTAAGTGAACTCAAGTACTCAACATTGAAGTTAAGAACCATTTTTTATTTTAACCTTATATTCGATTGTTTCAAATTTCTGGCACTATTCAATTAACGCCGTGACTACTATTATATACTTTAAAAATCTATTATCAATTTTAAGATTATAGATCAAAATCGAAGAAAAGAATAGTAAGTTTAGGGACTTATCAATAAAATAATAAAAATGGTTAAAGTGGAAATTTCCGTTTTTTAAAAATCTGAAAATTTGATAAGCTAAGAACCTTTAAATTTCCTCCTAAAAACCTTCAATTTTTAAGTGTTTGTTGTTCTTTAAGCAGTGGAAATGAAACGTGTAAAATTACTTGCTACAAGTTTGCTGTTTTTAGGTCGAACAAATGACATATCATTATTTTTTAACGGGTTATAATAATAATTAACAATTGTGCTTGTTGTTGTTATTATTTTATATAAATAAGAAACGACATAATACTTCCTAGAAGTTTGCTGGGTCTTGTTTTGCGGTCGAACAAACGACATATTTGTTTTGATTCTTCAGTCCAAAATTTCGCCATCCTTAAAATTAAAGCCGCAAACGACAAGTGACTCAGATTAGAAGTTCGTTGAATTTTTAAATCAAACAGACGACATGTCGTTTCAGGTTAAAATTTATAGTCGTTTATGACGCGAACGACATAAAGTTTTTTGGCTAAATTTTAACGCCGTGTACGTGAGTGAGTTGATGTCGTTTCTAATGGAACAGCATATAATTGTCTTCTTAGAAATTTCTTGATCAAACAATTGCATGTCGTTTATCATTGTGCACAAACGACATTTTATGTTATGCAAACAATCTGCCTCCTTTTAACTTCGTTAAAAAAACTCTAACAAATTCAAAAACAGTTAAAATTTTTCTTTTTTTTCCCCTACAAATAATTGAAATTAAAAAAAGGTTGCTCAAAATTAATCCTTTTCTTAATGAATGAAAATATCAAAATTTATCATTTCTTTTTAAAATGAATGAAAATATATCTTTTCAATACTACATGATTACAACAAATACGAGTTTGCAAACTTTTTTTTCCTTCTTTCAACCGGAAAAAATGTGTTTGCAAACAGTTTTCAGTTCCTAAACAAGGAAATAAAACATCAGCAAAGAGAAAAAGTAGCCCTCTAACTACGGCCTCGTTCATTTAACCGATTTGAATTTTTAATTTTAGGTTTTTACAGTAAAAAATTCTTAGAAAATGTCACATCTAACTTTTTTTGTTATAGTAAAAAACTCTTAAAAATATCACATATTAACTCAAATTAAAAACTTAAATCCGTGAAATGAACGAAGTCTAAAAACACTTTTTACATCTTAGCAGCATAATGGCAATTAACTTCATCCTTTAACAGCAGAGCCAAATGCTTTTTCAACCATCTAGGCACAGAAAGTTGAGGCATGTGAACTCTATACAGAAAACAGTAAACACCACAATCTTTTTAAAGCCTGCCGCACTCAAGCATGCTCGGAATTTTGTTTACATTCCCTAGGAGACCATTGTCGTGCAAGACATCTCCAAGTTCACATGTCGGCAGAGATATTGCTAAAACATCAATCAAATTCATAAATACTTTTTTATCATCTCAAGAAAAACAAAATCTAACAAATATATATTTCAATCCAAAAAAATAAAAAAGTTCTCAAAAATTCATTTCCACTGCCACACGAGTAGGGATTTCTCTATGGTATTGTCAGATGCGTCTAGTTTACTGTCTTTTTACTCCTATCTAGCTTATTGTCTTTTTTCAGGAGTAAAGATGTGTCATGTGTTTAGGGAGACTTAATAAAGCAGCCCGCTACTTAACTAAGGACATATTTGGTAAACTGTGTAAGTATTTTGTATTGTATTGTTTAATAATAATACAATATTTGGTAACATTTATACATTGTATAATTTAATACGAAATTTAAAATTAATTTAATATGAAGTGTGATATCTAATACGGAAAAAAAAAACTTATGTATTAGATTGTATTATACAATTCAACTTAAAATACTATATTAAAAACATATAAAATATTTCATAAATATCAAGACTCGGGGTTAGGTTTTAAGACCAACGTTGAGGTCGAGTTTCGGGACCGGAGTATTGTTAAGTTTATATTTTTAACAAATTACATTTTAACCCCTAATATTTTCAAAAATTATATTTTGACCCATAAATTTTTAAAAATTTATATTTTAACCCCCCCCCCCATTTTTTCAAAATTATATTTTGACACCTCAACTTTAAAAAAATTATATTTTTCACCCCTTATTTTTTGAAAATTACAATTTGACCCCATTTTTCAATTTTTTTGCAAAAAGACCCCTATGTTGTAACTTTACTTTTTCCCTTACGTCCTTCAAATGTTGGGTTTGGGGTCGAGATTAAAGTCGAATTAGTTTATGATTAGACTTAATTTTACCTTATTACACACTAATACGTAAATAGATTATAATAGTAAAAATAATATAATGTTTAATAATATTATCAACCAAACATTGCATTGTATAAAAATTTTACAATGCAATACGATATTATACGATACGATACGATACGATACGATACAATACAATACAATACAATATAATACAGTGTACCAAACATACCTTTATATTCTTATTATAGACGACGAGCTTATTTGGTGGGAGGACTCACCACTACCTATAGAAACTTTTATGCACACAATGTATTATTTTAATAATAATAATAATAGTTTCTAGGAAAAAGAATGCATGAATTTATACAAGAAAATAACAGATGGACTTGGGCGCAGGTTAAAAAGATAGAAAAGAGGTGTTCAAGTAAATCTTATTTTTCCATTAGCAAAAAAGTAAAATCTTATTTTTCAATCTTGATAAGAAAAAATAAATAACAGAAAACCTAGTAAGTAATAAGATACAACCGAAAGTGACAACTTCAATAAGTGATGCAAGAAACAAATCCAAGGGAAAAAGAAAATAATTCATGAAAGAGGGATTGGGGTGGTGGGGAAGCAACAGTTTGACAAAGCAGATTTAATCGGTTGCATACAAGATTGCACCTTTTTCATGTACATAAATTCTAGTACACAAGAATTTCATATTAGGGAATTCAGGGAAAGCATTAACAAGGTTTTTTCTCTTTACAATCTGAAGGCAAATAGGACTAATAGAAGAAAGAGATTCTTAGTTTTACTTGAGATTCATTATGTGTAAGACAGATTCTTGACACCTAGAACACAACTTACAAACATAAACAGTCATATTTTTCTCCATTCCCAAAATACTCCCCCCGGAAAAAAATGCAGTAGCAACTTCTGTGACTGACTGCTCTGGAATATTACAGGGAAAAACTCTACCCCAGTAAATAGTGGGATTAGGCAAAAGAGCCACAAAAAGAGAAGTTTAGAAGAGCACTTATCTACCTGCTTAGCCTTTCGTTCTCATAATTGTGATGCTACCTTTTCCTCCCTCAGTGCGTATCTTAGTTTTTCCGACAACTGGCTTGCCAGAAAAGGCCGAAGTGGGGAACGCAACAGATGGATCTTCATTCTTTTGCTTCGATATTGGAGGTGGTGGAGTGCGAATTTTCTGGTTTATGTCCTTCAGAGTTACATCTCCATGAGCTCCAGATGGTTTAATGAAGGCAAATGGGTAGGCCACTGATGTAGCCAACTTTGTGGGAGTTCGTATGTAAGACTTCCTACCTATACACATGAAAGACAGGGACTGTTATAGTTGCTTTCTATTTGCAAAGGTTTATAGGATAAGTCATGACAATTCTCCCAAGAAATTCTTGCTATTCCTGATATCGTTTTAAACATCTTAAAGGACAGGGAAGAGAGAGAGAGAGAGAGAGAGCATATGTTCAATTTTTCTCATGATCTCAATGAGAAATTGTCAGATTGTTGTGGCATAACTATTCTAAGTGGAGCGATGACATATTCTTCAAATGAAAAGAAGACGAAAGAAACGGCATACTGGCGAGAGGGAAAGACATGCCTTTGAAAATTATCTTTTGAGGAGTAGAAATACGTTGTTGAGGAGCATTATTTGCATCCTCAGGGACAGTTTCGCAAAAATCTGCACATCAAACAAAGTAAACATTTAAACTGATCTAGGAGCTGAAGGTAGAATGGAGAATAAAAAAAGAAAAGGTACAAACTTAAGGAAAAGACAAGTTTCATGTACCTGAGATATCAATTTGAAAATCAGAGGTCTCAATGCGATTCCTGAGTTTCATACAGCATAGCAATTAGCATACCATAATGTAATTATCAAACCACTAAAACTAGAGTCCAAAGAAGCATACACAGCATCAGGGCTGAAATGCATCTCGGCATCATTAAAGCAATCTGCAATCCATCCATCAGGTGATTGATCCAGGGTGTCATACCCAGAAGCGGATGCATTTTCTGAAACAAGTGATTCTAGACGTTGAAAATCCCGGCTAAACATATCAGTAAATATTTGTATAAGTGTGGTGTTTTAGAAGATAAAAACCTGCAAACCCAGAGACAAAATGTGATCCTTCGGGTAAACCCTCCTCAAGTGAATCAACCCTCTCCTGTAAAAGGACCAAGAAAATGAATGCTGGTAATACATAAAAGGTACATATAACATGTTTGCTCACTAAAATCCCATCTCACAAGTAAACTTTTCCAGTATACTTTCTTCATAGAAAATACCGAACATTGAATCCCCATTGATGCAATAGAAACACTAGAGTAAAAGAGGGATTTACCGGAGGTATACTGCGCGAAGTTCCGGACTTAAACTAGTAGAAAAACTGTAATTCAACAGTGATTTACTAAGAATGACCCAAAAAAAAAAAAAAACTAACTAATTCACCAATTTGGCACATCTACCCATTAAGAGTTGCTTTGTGTAAGCTTCTCGTAAAAATCTACAGCTATTAGCTAATAACAGAACGAAAGAGGAGAACTTGAATCTACAGAAATTAAAACATATCAATAGATGATAAACAGCTCCAGTAGTATTCATATATATTTAGCCTTCAAACCATGTAAGAATGTTATCAACTAGATAATTTGGAAAATAAAGAGAAACTGACATTTGATTTTAGGAAGGCAGATGACATCTCTTCACTGCAAAGGGAAGAATCCATGTCTTTATTTGGAAACTGTAGCATCCGGCGTCTCTTCATTTGTGAAAAGGACTCCCTGCATTCTTCTGTTCCCTTGCTCATATTATCTGAAACCCACTTTCCCATGTTAAAATACCAAAAACCGAAGGCACTTTTGACCGGTTGCACAGATAGAGAGAATATTATCAAAAGGACATTGTTAAATAGAAATAGAAAAAACAAAAAAGGAACAAGAGTACCATCATGGCCAATATGGTATGCCAAATCCCCACAGGCCTTAACTGGGGTTGTTTCGTCGTCAAACATGTAGGAAATATCTTCTTCATTCTGAGGCACGCCATTCCAAAGGCCTTCAGATATGTCTGTGCATACCAATAAAGACAGAATCAGATATATTTAGCATCCAAGGATCTTCACATTGTCTAATTTGAGAATCACATTAAAAATGTACCATCATTGGAATTCTTTTGGTAACAAGAATTCTCCCTTTGCCGGCGCCACTGCTCAGTTCTACAAATTCTCACATCATGACATGGGAAAGCAAATATCCAGTCAAAAACAGGTATATAAACAAGTAAATGAGAAACAACAAAACCCAACTCTCAAGCCAAAAGCAAAGTACAGTTACTACACATTTAGTTGTGGAAACTGAATTTTTGTTCACTATACTTTTAGTTGGTAAGTATTACTAAGAAAATACTAAAAGCAAAATTGAAAATCATTCAGCACTATAGAATGTAGCATTCAGAGAATCAGAAACACTCAGTCAGGTAACTAAAGAACAGTAATATAGCGCTAAAAGAAAACATTGGATCCAACTCTGAAATAGGGGATACTGTTGTAATGTGGATCTAGGCAATTAAACAGAAACATTAAGAGCGAGTCATAATCCATGGGCAATTTGCTTTATGTGATAACGTAATCCAATGGATACTTAAAAAGGAAAAAAGAAGCAAAGTAAAAGCAAAAGCCAAGTGACCCAACAACTAAAACATTTGCAGATTTTAAGTCACACCATTTCCATTTATCAAAATAAAGTCACATTATCTCCATATTCCCAAAAAACAAAAAAAAACAAAGTCAAGCAAAAAATGCAACCAAAAAACATAAACAAGCGCAACAAAATAAGAACAGATAAATCGAGTCCAACCCATTTCCCCCATTCAACCTATTAATTCCATGAAAAGAAAAGGTAAGTACAAATATTAACGGGGAAAATATAAGAAAAATCGTCTTTGTACTAAAAACCCACGAAGAAAAACAAATAACTTAAAAAGAAACACACATTCCAGAAACCGAAATCGATCATATATATATATATATATATATATATATAGAGAGAGAGAGAGAGAGAGAGGCATTTACTGGTCATTATCGCAATCCATTTCCGAAGCAGCAAAAGAAACGAACAGTTCTCACAAATCTCAGACTCACTCGTCAATTATAAACCAAAAAGGAAAACGGGAAAAGTAGCCGTTACGGACAAGAAGACTCGCTCACTGTTTATATAATTGCATTTTCTGTGCTCTGTGTCTGACGCTTCAGATTTGTGCTAATTATCTGCGGAGACGAAGGAAATAATAATAATAAAGCGGCGACTAAAATTCTTCCTCTTATTCCAAGTCTTAATATCGCTCTTTTCGTGTTTTTTTAAAAAAAAAAGGAATTTTAATTGATTTTATTAATTTTCTTTTTTGAGAGTCGAGAAATTTCGTTTATCCCGAAGCGAGAGAGACCATGGAAATGGAAATATCAAAACAAAGAAAGAAAGAGAAAAAAGAGGTGGTCGATGGCAATATCAAAAATGGCAGAGCATGCTTTTACTCTCCCGGGACCCATGCCATCCATTCTCATCGGTCCGTTACTTTGGGATTTTTTTTTTTCTTTTTCAATCCATCATTATATAATTATTTCGTATAATTTGTTTGCTATATACATGTTTTGTTTTTCTTAATGATTTATTAAACATGAGGGAAACTTCCTTTTCCTTTTCTTTTTTTGCAAAAACGAAACAGTTATTGTAATGTTGTTAATTGTAAATGAAATATACATGATATTGTTAACGAATACTCACCGATTACTAATTGGTTCATAGATTAAAATCATGTGATTAGAATTATTTTTGATTTACGTATATTTTTTATAAGAAAAAATATTATAACAAATCATGAATTATGATTCAAATTATGGTTTGAATTCTCAAACCAAACATTCCTTAAGAATCTGACACAAGAAGTCAAGAAGGGGAAAATTGATTTTGGTGCTCTATGGTTTAGAACTTTATCAAGTTGGTATGTATGTGTTTAGAATTTTCACTGGAATATCTTGTTATTTCAAAAAAAAAATTCAAAGTACCCAAAACTCGTTTTTTGGAACCTAAAATGATAATAGTACATTTTAACTATAAAAAAAAAAAATTCAAAGTACCCAAAACTCGTTTTTTGGAACCTAAAATGATAATAGTACATTTTAACTCAAAAATATTTTTTAACAAAAACACAAAAATTTATGTTTTCTTATGAATTTTATATTTTATTTTATTTAAAGATGAGTTTTTAATGGTTATGTTTTCATTAGTGGTCACTTTTAAATATAGAAATTTGATCACGTGATGTGATAAGAATCTAATTTTATTAATTGTTATTAATTTTTTTATCAACTATTAAATTTTTTACAACCGTCAGATTAATATCTTGTTGTTAAAACAGTAATTTCTATCAATGAACATTATTGGAGTAACAAGATACCCTAATAGAATTTTTGAACGACATTTTCACCAATTAGAACTATTGAGTCAATGGTGAAGGTATTATATTGGTGCCTATGTCAATACAGGAAAACGTCAAAATTATTCAAACAACTTATTTCATTATTTAAACGATATCATAAAATAGCTATTCTTTTATTATTATCTTTTTGAAGGGATTATTATTATTATTATTATTATTATTATTATTATTATTAGCTACTCTTTTACGCTAACATGGTATATGTATATTTTCTCCGAATATTCATGAGATAGTTTATTTTCTAAAGAAAATCCTCCTCTAATATTATTAGCTACTCTTTTACGCTAACATGGTATATGTATATTTTCTCCGAATATTCATGAGATAATTTATTTTCTAAAGAAAATCCTCCTCAGTTTGATATCAATACTCCTAAAGCCACTCGATAACATTGCTTGCCGTACTATTTAAAAAAAAATCGATATTCCAGTACAATTTTCTTTTTTGTTTTTGTTTTTTTGAAAACGACATTCCAGTACAATTTGGAGACAATTATGGACGTATATTAACGGTCACTAAACAATTGAGTCGTGTAGACTGGGTTGGTGACAGTGATTCAAATATAGATGTATAACCTTTTTTTTTTTTTTAATGAAAATGTGCATCATTAAAATACTACTAACAGTCGAATTAATACAATGTTAACCTATTAGTGGGACAAACACACGTTTAAAGTTTGAAACCGGAAAAGCACCTCAACACACTAACAACAAGCGGATTGAAAACTCAATTGGAGAAAACTTCTCTCTTCAATATAAGATGTCGAGCACTAGAGGAGCATATCATCAAAACTCACAAAAAGAGGACATCTACATGACATAAAAAAAAATCTAACCGGACTAAAATCACTTTATCGGTATTAAGCTGAACACCTAAATCTAACAAAAAAATAACAAATCAGATGAGGGTAGAGTGGAAAAACCACCAACCTTATTACAAATTGGAGAAAACTTCTCTCTTCAATATAAGATGTCGAGCACTAGAGGAGCATATCATCAAAACTCACAAAAAGAGGACATCTACATGACATAAAAAAAAAATCTAACCGGACTAAAATCACTTTATCGGCATTAAGCTGAACACCTAAATCTAACAAAAAAATAACAAATCAGATGAGGGTAGAGTGGGAAAACCACCAACCTTATTACAAACACAAAAGTTCAAAAATATAAAAATCTCCAACCACTACTGGTAGAAACCTCCGGTGAAAGGCGTCCGGCCAAAGGACCATCGAGGAAGACAACCGGCGAAGAGATCTCAGTCACCAAGCGAAAACTCCCCTGAGAAAGAAGATTGTCTATTTGGCTTCCAAGCTCTTAATCGGTTTAGATCTGTCCAAACGGAGCCGCCACACCGTACACCACCACCTTCAATAAGAAGCCCACGATGAGACGAGTCGAATGATCAAATTTCATGATCGGGAGTCTGGCGACACGCCAAAAAATAGTGTTGCAGCTCCAGTCAACCTGTGCTCTCTAAGGACCTTCTCACTCTTTCTAACTATCTCTCTTACAAGTCTACTTATATTATGTCCTAGTCGATGCTTATTTATTTATTTTTATGTTTTAACTTTATTTCATTAGAGTAAACAAAAGGTAAACATCTAGCTTGTTAGATTAAAAACATGCATTAAGAATATATCGTCTAACTAGTTTGCATTGGATACCGTGGCACGGTGGTGTATAACTATTTTTGCTCATACAGTGACATAGAGAACCAAACAATTAGGAGTGACAAATATTATTTTTGTTTTGTTCAACAATTTGAGAATATTCAAACAAAAACACAAGTAGATAAACGTGGGCCAGCATATTCTTTTATGAACTGAACTAGCTCAAATACTTTTTTCATCCTCTTATTCTATAGTTTTTGGTATTTGACACATATGGTTGATAACTAATAGTTAAACATAATAGTTTTTTTCATGTAAATATACAATTTTGAACAGTGGAAGCATTCCTAATTGATATATGATAGACTCCTTTATTTTTTTATTCTTAATTATTATATTAGAATAATACGATTCAACATTGTTATTTAGTTATTTATTCACTTCAATATTTAATATGCAAAATTTACATAACCCGCTTTCATAGTTTGGTATTTTTACACAGTCCACTCTAAATTTGATAACTATCTCACATCTCACATCCTCAAGTTAGGTACCAAAAGACTAGCTGGCCCTTCACTTAAAAAAAAAAAAAAGAAAGAAAAAAAAGGCTATCTACTAAAGAACAAGAAAAAAAAAATACAAACCGACCGATTTAATATATAAAAACATACCTTACTTACTAGCCATTTGAGGTTAGGTCAAGTAGTTAGATGTATGTGTGTGCTTGTGCCTATTAGGGTTCAATTTCTTTTGGTTTGATTTACGTGAATTATTCCTTTAATGACAGCATATATAGACATTAAAAATGTCTCACTAATTTATTTTGTAGTCAAATGCGTAAGAGGGGTGAAAATGAAAATGAAATATGGGTGTATACTTTCTGGAATAAATGATTCAACAACTCTTCATAAAGTATAGGGCCATTTCTGTAATTACACTATTTATTATTGTTATTTTATTATTTCACGTGCCTTTTTTGTTGCTTTATCCTTTTTTGAGAAAATTTCACGTGCCCATTTAAGCGCATGATTTGACGGTGCAGTTAGAAAACTAGAAAAGGACCGGAGAACCATTGCATGCCAAGTGGTCCTCGTACGGTTAGTTCGCTTATCTAATTACGAAGGTTGGCGCGGGCGCTCAACTTTTGAAGGTGGACGTGTATTAGATTGACGGGCCGGACAAAAGCATAGGAAATTTCTGATATGGGCTGGCCCAGCGTTGTCCAATCGTGTGTAAATTATTCATGAGTAGGTGTGCACGGCAGGTGGTATGGACCGTTTTGGACAGTTTAAGCGGTTTTTGTATACGACGGTTTTTTAAAAATATAATTTTTGGCTGTCCAAAATTTAGGTAATTTGGGTGGTTTTTTTTCATGACTTGAACGGTATGTTAGACGGTTTGAGTTTTATATTTAGGATCTGTTTAATTCGTTGATTTGAGTTTTTAATTTAAATTAAAAGTTTAATTTAGTAAGGATTTTGAGAGGTTAAAATTAATTTTCTAATCAGCTTAAGTTATTTATTGTGTTAGGAAGAATTTTGGGGGAAAATCAGAAGCATCCTTTGGGTTGCTTCTGATTGTAGATTGTGTGGGAATCTACTGGGCTCATTAATGAAATTTTTATTATTCCTAAAATACCCCCGTTGAATCAAACAATTTCCCTCAGCCATTATTAACACTCCTTTGCGTTTGAGTCCTGGTTGACCAATTCGCGTTTGAGTCCTGGCTGACCAAGAGCTTTCCCTACAAAACCTTTTGGGTTGTTTGGGGCATAGGGCTCTTCATCGGTTGGTTTCACGATAGCGATATTTTCATCATGGAAATTCCTGAAAGAATATGCACCTCCAAGACCACTACGAACAGGAACCGGATCAATCCCATTATTTATTGCCTTAACAATCTCCGTAACCAGTTGTTTTGTTTTAGAATATTGATTTGAGCAGCCCAATATCTCAACTGAAGATCCTTCCCATTTGGTGAGAAACACGGAGTAGATGAGCTTCTGTGCAGAAACCACCATCGCGGTGGTGAGATCCACCACGGGTCTCACTGACTCAACAATCCATGCGGTGGGTAATTCTTGCTGATTTTTTTATTTTTATTTTTTCAAATTCGTTTTTGTTTCTCTTTTTTTTTTTTTTATTTCTAAAAGAAAATAAATAGAAATGCAGATTACTAGAGCTCTTGGTTCTAGTTTTTGTGTTTTGATTTGGATTGATGGAGAGTCGAAAAATATAGTAAGAAGAATTGTAACTGATGACGAAGAATTGTCTCCAATACTATCGGTGTTTAGAAGAAATTTGAGTTCTTTTTCTTTTATTTACTTCACAGCTTCAAAAATGGTCTAATATCAATAAGACTAGTAAAAATTCAGTGCGGCAATCTTTTTCAATTAGCTTAAAAATGATGGGGTCCGCTACTAATCCAAGAAGATTAAAGTTAAACAAGTATTTTTAAATACTAAAAATAATTATATATATTTAAGTTTCATATCGTGTCTATTTTAGTCATTTTATATACCCATAGTAATTCAACCTCAAAATTTATCAAACTCTATTATACTGATTTTAGAACCAGCATAGCTATTATAATTACAGTTTACCAAACATTCAGCTGTTTCTTGTAACAGCTGCTTCTTCCTTCAACACAACTAAAAATAATTTTTCTAAAATCTACAACACTACCAAACTAAGCTAGGATGTGACTTTATGTAAGTTTTTTACTGTAATAAAAAAATTAAATTTGATTATTTTTAAGAACTTTTTACTGTAATAAAACTCGAATTTTAAACTCGAATCAGTAAAATAAACGGAACCTTAAATTTTTAAGTAAATTATAACTAATTTTCAGAATACTTAACATAAACGATAAAAGAAGACATGATGATTCGACAAATTGTCATTGGTAAACACAATTCAAACTAAACATATCAATGTAAGGAAGGTTAGGATCATTGTCAGGATCACCCTCAGTAATCCTAGTAAAATGCTCCCTAACGGGGGACACCACCCTAACTTTTTTTTGCCTTTACACCCGTTGTTTTTTTCATTAGTTTCCATTGGTACATCTCCTCCTTCCTTAGTTTGAGCATCATCCACACCCTCTTGCTAATTCACATTCATTTCAATATCAACCATCTTTTCCTTCATACCAACAAATAAAAAAAAATTGGAAAACATCCATTACTGAATTGCAAATCAATCATTAATGGCTAATACAAACTACAAAACAAGCAAAATAAATAGCAAATGTAGTCTTATTCCAGCCACTCTCGAAGAAAACTAAAACTATTCCTTCAGAACCAAAGTAAAGGAAGAAAAAGTAGAACCAAAGTAGGAGACAAAATGACAAATTGCTGCAGCAAAAAATAAAAATAAAAGAAAATAAAAGAAAAAGGCAGGAGACAAATAGAGCAAATACAAAACTATTCTTTAAGAACCAAATACATCACGGGGGGGAAAAAAAGAACAGAGAACCAAATAGAACCCGAATAAATACCAAACAGAACTATACATAACCAACAATATATACCTAACATAATGTTAAAGTACAAGTTAACAGAGATGCAAATAAATCCCAATACCTGCTCGACGATTGATAGGAGACTTTGGCCACTTTGATAGTGCCCTAGGTTTTAGAAAAATTATTGTTAATTGTGTTAAAAAAATTTGTTACAAAAACAACTGAATATTTAATAAATTATAATATATAAGTATTAATTTCATAAATATTATGAATATTAGGAAAATTTAATTAATTATACTTTAAAATGATTGCCATTTTGACTATAAATTTTTTTAAAAAATTTTAAAAATCACTTTTTATAATTTTTATTAAATTAATTTTTTAATTATAAATAATTAAAAAATTAATTTGAGCTCCAAAAATCACTATCAAACATACACCTTCTCTTGAACTTAATCCCAACAGAGACGCACAAGTTAAAGTATTTCCTTTTCAAGCTTTTTGCTTCAACAAAATGAACCATCAAATCAAGAAAGAGACTTTCCTTTTTCTAGGAAAATCAGTAGTAGAAAGCAAATAAATTATCATCAATGCTAGAGAAATGCTGAGTGAAGACAAAAAGTTTTGGCAAGTGAACGGAGAAGAGAGAGGAAAAATGGAGAAGAAAAAATAGAGAAAAACTACTGCAATGTTACCTCTGAAGTTAAAGATTGAATGGAAAATTGGGAGGAGAATTCCTCGCTGTGTTTCGACGACCTCCATCCAGCTACGTTGTTTGCCTCTCGAACCCTTCTTCTTCTCTCGAGGCCCTCTCGTCGGTTTTGTGCTATTATTGAAGGCTTGTGATAATGGGTCTTGGGGTTTTCCTTTGGTTTTTGGTTATGTTTTAGTATGTAATAACCGTGTGGCAGACGCTGTTTTCACCCTACTATAAATGTTGTTTTGTAATAACATAGGTCGTTTCTCTACATTCCGGCTTGGTTTGTATGTCTCATTCGTTCGAGGTGTTTTTCATTCTCGATCAACTTATTTAATCTATCGACTGTATTAGTGGATTCAGTTGTTCGGATCGAACTTCATTATATTTGAGATCATGTGCAACTTTATTTTGAATTTGTAATTCATTTCTTATGGTGATAAAATTTCCTCTTTATCAAAAAAAAAAAAAAAACCGTAAATTTTGACTTCAGACAAAGTAAAATATATTCATGCACTTTAAAATTTATCACCATTTAATTTTAACATTTAGGATCCTTAATAATATCAATATTGGTAATTGCCAGGTCGACATTGAGGATTTAAAATGTTAAAACTTAAATGAAAAGAATTACAATGGCTCCATAAAAAAAACCTTGGGAAAAAAAATGGCGAGAATGGAAACAAAAAATAAGTAAAATATGGGTACAATAAAAAAGGAAAAAAAAAACGAGAATTCTCCTCTCAAAGATTGGACTCCGTTCACTTCACCGATTTGAATTTTATTATAATAAATTTTTTTTAAAAATAGTCACATTTAACTTTTTTATTACAATAAAAGCTTTCATATAGGGCCCGTTCACTTCATGTATCCCATTCGAATAAGCCCAACTCGAGTTGAATTTTGGGCTGAGTTTTGCGTTCATCAAAACAAACTCGAGTGTAAAACTCGAGTAATAACTCTGATTTCAGAGTTTGGCATGCCGGTTATTTTTTCATTACTGCAGTGTGTTTCTACAGTGTTTACATGTGCCTGAACAGTGCAGATTCCTCTGCTTTCTTCCCGTTGCTGCCTCGTTCTTGCCTCCCCATTGCAAATTTCTCTCTGCTTTCTGCACGCATGACCCTCGTTCCTGCCTTCCTCCTCTGATTTCACTCTGAACATCGATTTCCTGCAGATTTTGGAGTGAAAAACGATTCTCTCCAAGCGGGGTCGGTTGCCCGAATCGATTGTTTTTTGTGTCGATCCGCAGCGAAAAAAGGTAACCTCTAATCTATTTCCACCATTTTTGCTTCGATTACTTGTTGCATGCCCAACCCTAGAAGTGTTCCCCGTCCGTGCCCTTGAATCTTCATCACGGATACCATTCATCCGCCTCGCGGCAACCGGCAAACTCCGTTGGCCGTTTTATTGCGTCGATGTAGAGCCAAACGGCCCCATCTCGCATTGTCTGGTTATCTTCCTTTGCGACGTTACCGTCGGCCGTTCCGGTGTCACTCCGTCGTACGAAGTGCCTCACGCTCGCGTTTGGGGGTTGTGATAAACGATAAGCAGTTGTCATCAACTGGTTCCAACCGGGTATGCTCTTTCATTTCTACTAAGCTCTATAAACCATTGTTGTCTCTGGATTTGTCGTGGTTGCACTGTACATCTTCTTCGTTTTCACTGGTTCGATGCTTGGCTACTGTTGTTGTTTTTTCCCCATTGTTGTCGTTTGTATGTGTTTCCATTGCATCCGCTGTTGTCGTTTCCATTGTATCCCCTAGTGCATCCCCTGTTGCCGTATGTAGTCGCCTGATGTCGTTTATACCTTACCTGGCTGTTTTTCTGGGTTGTCGTTTTGGCTCTATTGTTGCCGTTTATATGGGTTATTGCATCCCCTGTTCCGGTGTATTGGCTAATTTGTTGCCATTTTTACCCGAGCCTATTGCATCCCCTGTTACTGTATTGGCAAATCTGTTGCCCATTTTACCTGAGCCTATTGCATCTCTGGTTGTTGTAT